CTGACATTTCCTCCTAGAAACCACCAGGCTGTACTGACTCTCACCTTGCATCTGGGTGACCAGCCTACTATGGTACTTACCACACTGTTGCAACTTGCCTATTAATTTGCTGAATCACCCTAATCGCCACTATAACAAAATACCCAAAACTGGTGGCTTAAACAAACAACATTCATTTCTCAGTTCTGGATACAGGAAGTCCAAAACCAAAGTGGCAGCAGATTTGCTGTTTGGTGAGAGCTCTCTTCCTGCCTTGTAGATGGCCTTCTTGCTGTTTCCTCACATGGCCCAGCAAGACATCTTTCTTGTGTCTTTTTTTTTTTTTTTCATTTATTTTTATTAGTTGGAGGCTAATTACTTTACAATATTGTAGTGGCTTTTGTCATACATTGACATGAATCAGCCATGGATTTACATGTGTTCCCCATCCGGATCCCCCCTCCTGCCTCCCTCTCCAGCCGATCCCTCTGGGTCTTCCCAGTGCACCAGCCCTGAGCACGTGTCTCATGCATCCAACCTGGGCTGGTGATCTGTTTCACCCTAGATAATATACATGTTTCGATGCTGTTCTCTTGAAACATCCCACCGTCGCCTTCTCCCACAGAGTCCAAAAGTCTGTTCTGTACATGTGTCTCTTTTTCTGTTTTGCATATAGGGTTATTGTTACCATCTTTCTAAATTCCATATATATGTGTTAGTATACTGTATTGGTCTTTATCTTTCTGGCTTACTTCACTCTGTATAATGGGCTCCAGTTTCATCCACCTCATTAGAACTGATTCAAATGAATTCTTTTTAATGGCTGAGTAATATTCCATTGTGCATATGTACCACAGCTTCCTTATCTGTTTGTCTGCTGATGGGCATCTAGGTTGCTTCCATGTCCTGGCTATTATAAACAGTGCTGCGATGAACACTAGGGTACACGTGTCTCTTTCAGATCTGGTTTCCTCGGTGTGTATGCCCAGAAGTGGGATTGCCGGGTCATATGGCAGTTCTATTTCCAGTTTTTTAAGAAATCTCCACACTGTTCTCCATAGCGGCTGTACTAGTTTGCATTCCCACCAACAGTGTAAGAGGGTTCCCTTTCTCCACACCCTCTCCAGCATTTTTTGCTTGTAGACTTTTGGATAGCAGCCATCCTGACTGGTGTGTAATGGTACCTCATTGTGGTTTTGATTTGCATTTCTCTGATAATGAGTGATATTGAGCATCTTTTCCTGTGTTTGTTAGCCATCTGTATGTCTTCTTCGGTCGTGTCTCTTCTTATAAGGGTACCAATTCATAAACAGAGTATCACTCTTCACAACTTAATTACCTTTCAAAGGTCCCACCTCCAAACACCATCACATGGGGCATTAGAACTTCAACATGACTTTTAGGGGGACACATTCAGCCCATGGCAGATGGAAGATAGAAAAATGGATAGGAGATAATAGGAAAAAAAGATGAAAGGCACTAATTCCAAAGAAATATGGTTAGGAAAATAAGTAAAATGTCATTCTGAGTTATAGAATAATGGGCATTTGTGGGGGGGGGGATGGTGAGCTATGAATTAACAATAAACTAACTTTAAATGCTTACACAAAGACAATAGACCAGAGGAAAGCTGAGAAGCTGGCCCAGCTTGCTGAGATGTTCCTGGAGGGCTGTGGTTGAGGTTAAAATTCAGCTATCACTTAGGTCACTGATGCTGAAGACATAATTCAATCTGAGTTTTCTGATACACCTGTATCAGCACTGTTCTCTCTGTCCATCACAGGAACTTACAGTCTACTCAGAGAGAGAAACATATATTGACTCCAAAAGGCTGGGTGAAGTACTGCATCCCAACAAACCACACTGCAAATCACTATTCCAAGTGCATAAACAGATATTGCTCAACTGACTGACAAGCTCCATAAGGACATATCAACAAGTTGGAATATTATGTAATTTTCCATCATTACACACTAAGTCCTGACATGGACACTCTAGCCTAACTTCTGTGTCCTTCTTTTCTCCCCCACTACTCATTTACCTGCCTTGCACACTCATCCTTTTGTTCTTTCCAGCAACACAACAGACCAACTCATATGTGCCAAGCACTGTGCAAGGCATGAGCAACAGATATTATCCCAGGGAAGAGCGTGGCCACAGTCTCTGCACCCAGAGAGCCAAACATTTGTGAGAACAGGTAACGCGAGGTTATGCGGTTAAAAACAGGGCAATGTGGGGTCTGACCTGAGCAGGCAGTTTCAGGAGCTCTTTCTGAAGAAGCGAAGACTCTATAGGAGTTAGTAAGGTTGGAGGTATAAGGGAGAAAAAGTAGACCAGGTGGATGGAATAATACATGCAAAGCAACAGAAGGTACATTCAAACACCTGGGCTGAGAGCTCAGTGGGAGCAAATCCCAAAAAACCTTGCATGAAAACATTTGGGACCTAATCCCAAGGCAAGGAGAAGCCACACCACCTCATTCACAAAATTCCTTCCCCACAGAAAGAGGAAGAAATCACTTATATCTAAATCACTTCATTCTAAGACTTACCAAAAGCCTTCAGGATAATCATTTTGAATAAAATCTCCGTGGTCTGTAGCCACAGATGTGGGATAGCATGTGGTGGATCCCATAAAGTTATGATACAGTTTGTCTTTCCTTCACCTCAGAATAATGCGCCTCCCCTCCTCAGCTCTTGGGCCGTCCCTGAAGGGCATAATGCTCCATCCTCCCCCTTCCCTTCTCTGCTGCTGGCTGCATCCCACAAAGAATTGGAACATCCTTTGTTAAATTCCATGAGTCAGCAAAGAATGGAAACCTTGCTTTCAAAATTCTTACATGAGGTTTCTGGGAAGAGTGTAAGAAGAGTGTCTACACTAAGATAAACTAATAAATAAACTGGCTCCTGAGCTGAAACAGGAAGGACAGTTTGAGGAGCAAGATAAGCAACAGAGAAGAATGGAGACACATGAGAAAAACACAAATCACTGATAGTAAAATAATTTTATTTAGTGTCTTTTTTTAAAAAGGTAGCATTTCACATATAAATTTAGACTTCAAGATTACCAAAAGGAACATCCCTGAATGGGGGACAGACTGAGAGCTCCAGTGAGCACAGGGAAGCACACTCCATGGAGAGTTTAAACAAAAGTCCTTTCTCGAAAACTTCACAGTGCTACTTCCCTGTTCCTCAACTCTGCCACCAGGGCTTGTGGCTTGTAAGAAAACCCACATCCACCACTTTGGGGCAACAGCTTTTAGCTCATAGGAATAGGAAACATCTCTAGGAATGAAAGCACAAGGGTCAATGATCCAGACTTCCACAACAATCATTATTTATATGCAGCAACATATATGACAGTTTATTATATAGTTTCAAAGACCTTTTAAAGAGGGCTAGAGAACGCAAAATTCATTAAGAGAATGTATATAATTAAATGAGCAAAAACAAAAATCCTTTTCATATTACGAATGCCTTTATAGGATAAGGCCTAGGGAAAAGACCCTGAATCTGGGATTCCTTTCCCATATTAAGTGTTTGGCACAACCCATAGGCTGTCATGAGACTGATAGTTAGCTTAAACGTTTCTGGAAGTGGTCCCATGAGTTTTCTGTCTGGCTTGAATGTAGTGTACATAAAAGGTGTCTTAAAACTGCATAAATTCTGGCCTAATTACAGGGCTCACTGATTCAGGAAACTTAAGGTAAAAAAGGTCCAGATGAAAATAGATCTCCCATAGCCACAGGCTAACTTTTACCAGCCTCCCATGGAAATTAAAATCCACTGGCTGCCTAGGAAGTCACTGGAATAATCCTGATCTCCTAGGTGAGGTAAAAGCTGGGGAACAACTTCGATTTTAGCATCTCTGGGCCAGGGGGTATGGAGAAAAAGATGACCAAGGATGCTTTCTAGGTTACTCCTTGTTTCACCCTATGTGGACTCCTGAACAATTTCAGAAGGAGAATCTGTGGGCTAGTAACCATGGCAGCCCCAGGACTTGACCTTTAGGCAGAGGTACTGGGGCAAATGAAAGCACCCAAATCCAGTTTTAAAAATAAAAACTTCCTGCAGTTATGATACAATACTGTGCAGTGAACAGCTAGGAACTGGATACTGCTCCTATTTCTGGTTAAAGTCTTTGTTCCACTCTTGGTCAGAGCTGAGAGGTGACATATAAGGAGTTGTCTGTGGCTAAAAACCAGGCAACTTGTCACATATGGCCTGAGGCAGTGACACAGACATCCATCACCTAATGGAGGAGAATGCATGTCCCCTTGAGCTTTGGTTCAAAGCAAAGGTTTCATCTCACCCCAAACTTCAAACCAAGCTCTATCTCTGAGCTTACTAAAGCAATAAACTAATGATTAGGAATCTCTCTGAAGAATCTCTGATTGGGTGGCATGGTGCACGTCCCAGCAGCCCACCATCTTGACTACAGGAAATCAAACAGGTGAGAATCTTATCAAGTAAATGGTTGCTCAAGTGGAAGATCATTTCCTGAAGAACTTTGTGGACTAGATGCTAATCACAGGGATGAATGCCAGGACTGGAACCCAAAGAGAGGGCCTGGGTCCCAAAGCAATCAGTCTTTATTACACTTACCACATTCTGGCCATCTTCTCTCTGGCCTCCAATCTCTTGAATGGCTGAACACACATTTCCACAGGGACCAATGTAAACATTATTCAATAGATCTCAGCTTAGAAAAACACAGCTTATTATATATCTAGTGTTTAACATTCCAGTGCAGGCAGTATCTTAGCATCAGACTTTCTCTCATTCATGAGTACCAGTTAAGAAAGGAACACATTCAGGATAGTTGATAAAACTGCGGCTGAAAAGACCATCTGGGTGCAGACAGCTAGTTCTATCCTGCAATCAGCTGATAAACCAGGACGACCACAGGAGAGGCAGAACAGAGCATGAGTTCTCCGTAAATCTGAAGAGTTGTATAACCATTGTTCCCATTTAACCCCTTGGGCCACATCTTGATACTGGAGAACATTTCCATCTGTTGCATCAACCTGTATTCTCCTTGTTTTGGACGGGGCTCTCTCCAGAGGGTTCAAGAGCCTCCTTAGAGGGGAGAGAACCTTTTCTTCCAGTCCTAACATCTGAATATTTCAAAGCACAAGAAGAGTCCACAAACATGCTAGGGATGCTGTTGCCAAAGTAGATCTTACTGTTAGAAGCAATGGCCTGGTACCTTCTGAGCTCCAGATATTCCGGGGTCAATTTGTGCTGTGAGAGGCAAACAAGAGCACAGGCATCAGGACACTTTGGTGAAGTATTCATCTCTCTCTTTCCTAACACAGATTTTCCTGATTGCTTTCCTGAATATCACTCAACTCTGAATTATTACCAATGACCCTCTCTCATTTTGAAGTGTGGCTATCACATTAACAGCATTTTTCACAATGACATAAATTACTGCCCCTTTCAGCCTAAGGCTGACCTCAATGACAAAGTCTTGATACTTGGGTCTGGCCAGCTCTTCCCAAGACAGATTTGGATCAATGGTTTGGAAACTGAAATTTCTCATCTTGCCTTCATCTTGACCAAATTCTATTCTGTTTCTACAGAGCTGCATCCTCCACTCCAATATATTAAGTTTCTTTCTAAATTTATATGGATTTCAAAGTACTAACAACTCTGTTCTGACAACCTATCATATCTTAAAATTTCTTCTGAATAGAGATTATGTTGTTCCTTTCTAAAGACAAAAAGTTAAAGCCCTGTCTATACTTTAAATCTTGATTCTAACCCTTCAAACTGCATCATATACTTTAGCAACCTCCTTCTCAACTTTTTCTCTGTTACACTCTATTGTATAATTAATACTTTCTAAACCTTGGTCATATTCTTTCCTTCTCAGAATACTAGGGGTTCTAGTTGACTTTTTATTAAATAAATCCTACTAACAGGTCTGTACTCTCTAGATCTAAACTCACCCCAGTCTCTATACAAAAATTGTTTACCCATACATCACCCAACCTCCTTTCTCAAGGTACACTTTCTCAAGGTACATATATGAAATTCCTCATGACTACAGCATTTTTTAAATCCAACAAACAAGCATTACTCAATTAGGGCTATCTGGAAGAGTGTGAGTGTGTGTGTGTGTGTATATGTGTCTGTGTGTCTGTCTGTCTGGAAATATGTGTGTGTGTGTGTGTGTGTGTGTGTGTGTGTGCTGTTAAAATAATTGGTGAGCAAAACTGATAGTTTAGTAGGAAAGGGGCAGCAAAGCAAAATATACCACAATGTATAAGATAAGTCTTCAACATTGAAAAAGTATCTCACCCCAAAATGCTAAGAATTTCTGTCTGATAAGAAACACTGCTTTGAACAAGCTCAGCATCTACCCACCAGGGCTACCTTATCTGGAAGGCAATTTTAAATGAACTTTACTCTTCTCCTGTCACTTTTGTCATTTCAGGAGAAGACCTTTAACTTTCCTGATTACTGAACTCTTATGCAGCAGTACAAATGAATGAATTTATGGCACTTAACCTGGGTTTATATATCTGCTTGCCTTTTTCCTAGTTCCTCACTTATATAAAGAACCATACAAAGTTCTCTATTCATAGAATGTGCACTATGTGCCTTTGGAAGTGAATGGCTGATTCTAGAGGGCGTGATAGTAACCATCCTTTCTTGACACTGGATAAAATCACCTCTATCATGTCAGAACTCCCCACAAGGGAAACGAAATACCCAAACTCTTATTACTAGGACAGTGGCACAGAGAGCCAGTCACCTTGTTTGAGGTGGCATATTTGTGTGCGGCATAATACTCAGCATCTGCTTTCGCCTTCTCTCGGGCCAGGAATGCAGCATCTAGTAAGCAAACAGTCAGGGTGTTTAAAAGAGAGCAAAGGTGCAACCCGTTTCCTCAGCTCTGGGCAAGAGTTCAGACTCTACCTGAAGTAGAAGCCCATTTATCCACTGCCTGATATGACAAGCATTTACTTTACTTCAAAGGCATGTAACAGTGTTAGCAGTTTTCAAACCCCAGTCTCCAGACAACTCCTTCTCAAAGGGGGGATGCTCTCGACAATGTCAAGTTAAATAACTCAGTTCATCTGAACCCACTTCATTTTCCACCTGAAGCTGAACCTTCTTTCCACCACCCCTCATCACCGAAAGCCTCATACCCCACCCAGGCTCTAGGCTTTAACTAAGTAAGTTCAGACATGAGCACTTGGCTCTATTTATTGCACTGTCTCCATCCCCTTCAAACTGGATCCAGAATCAGTTAATGCAGAATGATCGGAAGCAGCATCATATAAGCAAAAGAGGCTGAATATTTCATCTTTAAGATTGTGAACTAAGAACATCGACTTCTCACTGTGTGTAATTAAGAGTCTGGAAGATAAAAACTGGGGCTTCTTTTTTCCCCAACTAATTGTCTGGTTATTTTTTTGGTTGACAGGCAGAAAAGAAACTGGTGGTATATTCTTTAAAACTGATTACTTTGCCTGAGCTAAATATGCGATGGCAATTTAAAAAATATTTGTCTAGAATATCAAACTAGCTACTTCCTCCAGACCAGATTATTCTCTCTATGGCCCACCCACCATAACCCAGACCCAGTCCCTGAGACAGCGAAGCAGTTCAGGATGGTCAGAGTTTCTTTTCTCCCTATGGTACCTTCAATTTCAGAAATGCGCTTTTCGGTTTCTTTCTCCATCACCTTCTGCTGAAACCGAATTTTTGCCACTTGTGCAATCTTCTCTGCTTCTATAATTATATACAAAACAAGATGCCTTCAAAAACATTTCTCCAGTTCTGGAGCTACTTAGAAAACAGCAGCACATAGCTTACATTTAATTATATAACACTTAATAGCCTAATTGTTCACTGTTTTATCTATCCAAACTATAAACAACTCATCAGAAAAAAGGAAATTTATTTCCTACTTCACTGTTTTATTTTGACAGTGTTTGTTTTGTGGGAAGGAGGAATACAAAAGGTAACAGTTTCAGTCCTTCATGGGATTACATGGCAGTGATCCACAAGTTAATGAGGAAAACAAGATACTTCATGAAAGTACTCAAAACAAAAACAGAGCAACACAAGTGTATGGCAACAAAGGACATTTATATATTGTGGCAGGAGAAAGAAAGAATATGGAAGATAAGCCAAGGAAGGTCTTCTAGAAGAAATCTTAAAGAAAATAATATATAGAACTTAAGAGGACCTGGCAGAAAGTGTAATGAAAACAAGAAGAAACAAATTAGCAAGTCACAGTGAAGAGGTGATAAAAGAGCCAGTTGACAAGAGAAGATAACAAAAAGACTACAGAGAGGGCTAAAAGAACCCTGCTTGGAGTGAAAGGCTAAGGAATTTAGCTTTAATATACACTCAAGATCAATTGTTAAGTAACTATCAGGGAAATGATGTGATGAAGGGTTACCAGAGGAGTATTCTGACTGCTACAGACATAAAAGAGAAAAAGCAGGGTAATTCATCTGAGCATGTGAAAATGTGTTGGGAGTGAACAAGGTAGCTGCAGCGGGCAATTACAGGCAGGGAAAACAAAACATCCTAAGGAACTCTCGGGTCTAACCGAAGGATCCAGACCAGGGAAGAAAGACTCTAATTTTACACTTTCAATATAACCACTACAATTCTTAAAGGACATTCTCAATTCTCCTTTTCAGACAAAGAAGTTGAGTATTTTAACATATTTTCTCTTTGGCCTCTGGAGGAAGTGCATAATGGAAAGAACACTTTGAAGTGGTTTCTTCTTTCCAAAAGGTAGGATCCTTTACGAACTACTCCAGGGCATACTTCCCTATATCCCCATCAACATTAAATCAATCTATCATCATACCATCCTAAAAACAGACTACTATGTTCAGCTGGGCTAAAAACTTAGCAATAAGCAGAGACTCGATAAAATTCAAATAAAAGGTGAGGAATCTAGAGCCTGCAGCTAGAACCCAGAGAATGGTGTCTTAACATGGGAAAATGATGCAGTAATCCCATTTCACACTATTCTCTGACATATGGGCATAAACTAACAAACAGCATAACCAGACCTCTAGTTAAGAAAACTGGTGGAGCAGGCTAACGAGAAATCCTTCAGCTATCTACATCTTAAAATGCTAGATAAAACAGAACAAAATTGTTTCCTAATGTGTAACTGAGCTCTTCAAGAGACACAAGTAGAGAGAGCTGGAGCCTGTATGACAGCAGCCCTGGGAGTGGATATCAGACAAGTAAGAGGGAGGGCCTTGGGTTACTGCCCATGCAGGGCTGGGAGAGGACGTCTTGAGATGGTAGAACTGAAATCCCCATATAAAACCCAAGACCTTCTAAAGGGCTCCAACTCCAGTGAAACCAAAATGCTCTACCTTTTGGCTCAGTGACATATCATAGTGAAATTAGAGACAACCCCAAGATAGAAAATTCTTAAAAGTAAAGTGAGGGGAAGAGGCCAAACAAAACCAAAATATTACTGCCAAAGTGACATAGAAAAGGAAGCTGAGTTGGGCTTAGAACTATAGGTTAAATTACCATTCAAGAATGAAGTAAAACTATTTCAGACCAAGGAAGATTGAGTAAATTTTCCACTTCTCAGCCTTCACTGAAAAAAAGCTAGCAGGAAAAAAGAAATGAATTGCCAGAAGCAATGGAGAGTAAAAAAATTACACAATACATTTAAATAAAAATAAAATATTTTACTCTAAGAATTGATGATAATAATGGGGGAATGAAAACAACACAAACTAAAATATCAGGCAACAATAATATGTAAAACTGGAGGACAGTGATAAGAGCTAAAGCATCCTAAGGTATTATTCAAGAAGAGTATAAAAAGAATGATTAAATTTAAAGTCTCTCAAGTCAGGTATGCTTGTAGCATTTTACAGGCAATGCCTAATTATACATTCAAGGAATAGAACATAAAACTTCCAATCAAGTCAAAGGAGGAAAAGAATAAAGAAAAGATAATCAATTCAATATTAGTCAAAAAAGGGGGGAAAGGAAGCATGGTAAATGGCACAAAATTAAATGATAAAAACAAGTCCAAATATAGCAGTAACCACAATAAATATAAAAAGACTAAACTCACCAGTTAAAAGACAGATTCTCACATTGGATAAGATAACAAAATCCAGCTATATGCTGTTTACAAGAGACACACCTAAAACATAATGACATAGAAAAGTTGAAAGTAAAAGGATGTGAAAATATACATCAAGAAAATAACTAACCAAGAAAAATCTATCATAGCTATATCATCATCAGACAAAACAGACCTTAAGCCAACAAGCATGTCTGGCTATAAAAGAGGGTTATTACATAACAGCGCCAATTCTCCAGAGATGTAATAATGCAGTTCTGAAACTGAACACTTTTAAAGATATAGCCCTAAATTACATAAAGAAAAAGTTACAAGTCAACAAATTCATGGTCATAGTGGGAGACTTTAACACACCGTCTCAGTAACTGATAGCTCAAAAAGACAAAAACTAGAAGAGTACACAAGATGCGTACTTCAAGAGTACACAAGAACAATACAATTCATAACCCTGACATAATGAATATAAAGAGAACCTGCATCCAATAGTGAATAGACATTCAATCTCTTCGAGCACACATAGAACATTTACCAAAAAAGGACCATGTACTTGATAGTCCACAAAACAAACTTCAACAAATACTTAAGAATCCATATAAGAGGCCATATTTTCTGATTACAATGCAGAAATCAACAATAAAAAAATAGCCCCCTGAGAATCCACTCAATTAGAAATTGAAAATATACTATTAATAATTCATGAGTCAAAGCAGAAATAATGGAAATTAAAAACAAAACAAAAACCAAACACAAATAAATTAAATTACATTCAAAACTGGTGAGATGCATGCACCTAAAAGCAGAACTTGGAAGAAAATGCCTAAATTTTACACTTTTCCATTAGAAAACATTAAAAACTAAAGAATTAAGTCAGTCAAGAAATTAGAAAAGAACCAATAAGTAAACTCTAGGTAGAAAATTTAAAAGTGTAAAATAATAATTTAGAAAGAAAGTGACAAAAGAATCAACCAAATCAACATTTCGTTCTCTGAAAAGATGAAAAAAAACCAATCTCTGATCCAGCAAAACAGAAGGCACAAATAAACAATATCAGGAATGAAAAGGGGCACACAGATTTAATAGAGGGTTTATTTTTAAAAAATCATGAGAACTTTACAAATTTATGCCCTCAAATTTGAAACAGCAGGTGAAAACATAACTACCAAAACTGACTTAAAAAAGAAACAAACACCTTACACAATACAGAAATTAAATCTGTAGATTAAATGTTGCCATAAAAATCAAATGAGCATACAAAAAAGCACAAACTCCACTTTACCAAGATGGTTTTTATAACTGAGTTCCAGCAAATCTACAAAGAGAAGATAATTTATATCTTATACAAAATGCTCAGAACATGGAAAAAAGAAGAAATGCCCTCTAACTCATCTTGAGGCTAGTGTAACCAGGATACACCAGACAAACAAAAACAAACAACATGCCCCAAAAACCTAAGAGTAAGAAAATAAGAAAAAAAAAAGCAGCTAACCATTTATGAAAATAAAAGTAAAAAAATAAGAGAAATTAAAGCAAGTCATATAAAATGTATTAGGGTAAATTAACCTCCTAATTTATGAGCAAATGAATTTATCCCATGAAGACAAAATAACTTTTAAGAGAAAAATCTATTAATATAATCATCATATTAACTGCTTTAAAAAGAAAAACTATATGGTCATCTTAACAGATTTAGAAAAAAAATTGTAGCAGTTTTAGCAGTCATTCACGATAAAAACCCTTGGCAAGCAAGAAACACAAGGAAACTTCATCAACCCGATAAAAGTTAAGTATAGAAAACATCACTGAGACTGTGTTTTTAAAGTTAGAACAAGACAAGAATGCCTGTTTACCATCTTTCTTTTCAGCACTGGAAGTCATAGCCTAAAGCAGTTAAGATAAGAACTAAACAGTGCAGAGTACAGCAAAAAAACCAGAACTGTCCTGATCTGAAGACAGTATAATTACTTGAGAATTCCAAGAGAATATTACAAACAACAGCATTTTCAGGAAGACTGCTAAGTGAAAAATCAACAGCATACCTACAAAAGTAAAAATCAGTTCAAAAATGTGTCTTGCAAAAAGAGCCTACCTGTACTAGCAAAATATTTGAGGAATATATAGAAATAAGTCTCTAACAAAGAGGGTTTAGGAACTATGAGAAGAAGATTATGATACCTTTTTCTGAAAGGTCATTCTTTCATTTTTCATTCTCATAAATGGAGAAATGCAATAGATTTATAAAATTCAATATCATAAACATTATAATTTTCTTCAAATTGATATACTATATACAAGTAATGTGACTACAATAAAAACTCAACAGTATTTTATTGAACTTGAACCATTTCTAAAATTTATATGGAGGAATTAGGGCTTAGAATAGTCCAATACAATTTTAGAAATAGGAATGGTCAAGAGGAATAGTGAAGAAGAAACAAAACTTGCTCTACCAGATAGCAAGACTTAAAATAAAAGCTAGAGTAATTAAAGCAAGGTATTACTGGAAAACGAAAGACAAAGAAATTGAAAGAAAACAGAAACCCAAGCAACAAAACAAATTATATATAGGATTTTAATATATGTCAGATGTGGCATTAGAAATAAAGGGAATAAGGAACTACTCAATTGTCTAAGATAGTTTGCCATTTGGAAAAAGTTAAACGGATTAGATTTGACAGTGCCTGAAGAACTATGGACAGAGGTTTGTGGCATTGTACAGGAGGCAGTGATCAAGACCATCCCTAAGAAAAAGAAATGCAAGGACAAATGGTTGTCTGAGGAGGCCTTACAAATAGCTGAGAAAAGAAGTTAAAGGCAAAGGAGAAAATGAAAGATACACCCATTTGAATGCAGAGTTTCAAAGAATAGCAGGGAGAGATAAGAAAGCCTTCCTCAGTGATCAGTGCAAAGAAACAGAGGAAAACAATAGGATGAAAAAGACTAGAGATCTCTTCAAGAAAATTAGAGATACCAAGAGAACATTTCATGCAAAGATGGGCACAATAAAGGACAGAAATGGTATGGACCTAACAGAAGCAGAAGATATTAAGAAGAGGTGGCAAGAATACACAGAACTATACAAAAAAGATCTTCATGACCCAGATAATCATGATGGTGTGATCACTCACCTAGGGCCACACTTCCTGGAGTCTGAAGTCAGGTGGGCCTTAGGGAAGCATCATTACAAACAAAGCTAGTGGAGGTGATGGAATTTCAGTTGAACTATTTCAAATCCTAAAAGATGATGCTGTTAAAGTGCTGCACTCAATATGCCAACAAAATTTGGAAAACTCAGCAGTGGCCATAGGACTGGAAAAGGTCAGTTTTCATTCCAATCCCAAAGAAAGGCAATGCCAAAGAATGTTCAAACTACTGCACAATTACATTCATCTCACATGCTGGCAAAGTAATGCTCAAAATTCTCCAAGCTAGGCTTCAACAGTACGTGAACCAAGAGCTTCCATGTTCAAGCTGGATTTAGAAAAGGCAGAGGAACCAGAGATCAAACTGCCAACATCTGCTGGATCATTGAAAAAGCAAGAGTTCCAGAAAAATATACTTCTGCTTTATTGACTAAGCTAGAGCCTTTGACTGTGTGGATCACAACAAACTGTGGAAAAAGCGATAGGACTACCAGACCACCTACCTGCCTCCTGAAAAATCTATATGCAGGTCAAGAAGCAACAGTTAGAACCGGACATGGAAGAACAGACCGGTTCCAAATTGGGAAAGGAGAACATCAAAGCTGTATACTGTCACCCTGCTTATTTGACTTACATGCAAAGTACATCACGCAAAATGCTGGGCTTGGATGAAGCACAAGCTGGAATCAATATTGCCAGGAGAAATATCAATAACCTCAGATATGCAGATGACACCACCCTTATGGCAGAAAGCAAAGAGGAACTGAAGAGTCTCTTGATGAAAGTGAAAGAGCAGAGTGAAAAAGTTGGCTTAAAACTCAACATTCAAAAAACTAAGATCATGGCATCTGGTCCCATCACTTCATGGCAAATAGATGGGGAAACAATGCAAACAGTGACAGACTTTATTTTCTTGGGCTCCAAAATCACTGCAGATGACTGCAGCCATGAAATTAAAAGACAGCTTGCTCCTTGGAAGGAAAGTTATGACCAACCTAGACAACATATTAAAAAGTGGAGACATTACTTTGCCAACAAACATCTGTCTACTCAAAGCTATGGTTTTTCCAGTAGTAATGTATGGATGTAAGAGTTGGACCATAAAGAAAGCTGAGAGTCAAAGAATTGACACTTTTGAACTATGGTGTTGGAGAAGACACTTGAGAGTCCCTTGGACTCCAAGGAGATCAAACCAGTCAATTCTAAAGGAAATCAGTCCTGAATATTTATTGGAAGGGCTGATGCTGAAGCTCCAATACTTCAGCCACCTGATGTGAAGAACTGACTCCTGAGAAAAGATCCTGATGCAGGGAAAGAGTGAAAGCAGGAGGAGAAGGGGACGACAGAGGATGACATGGCTGGATGGCCCCACTGACTCGATGGACATGAGTTTGTCAATCTCTGGGAGCTGGTGATGGACAGGGAAGCCTCTCTTGCTGCAGGTCATTGGGTTGCAATGGGGCAGACTCACTGAGCGACTGAACTGAACTGAATTTCTATATCACACTAAACATTAAAATAAATTTCAGATGAGCTCAAGATCTAAATATGAGAAGAAAAACTTTATAACTTTTAGAATAAAATTATTATTTTGGGGTTGGGAGAGAATTCTTAAACAAGATAGGAAAAGCACAAACTGGACAGGAAAAGATTGATGAATCTGATTACATGAAAATCAAATATAAACGTATGTCAAAGACATCATAAAGTTCAAAGACATGCCATAAATTGAGAGAAGATATCTGCAATGCATAAACCTGGGAAGGGATTAGTATCTATAAGATATAAAGAATTTTTACAAATCAGTTTTAAAAAGTAATCAAATAATGGCCAAAGACATTAACAGGCAATTTACACATCAAAAAAAGGGAAACTTGAATGTCCCATAAACAATACTCAACTTCACCAGTAACTGGAGAAACTCGTCAAAACTGTGTGGTTTCATGTCCATCATCAAAATGGCATAAATTAAAAAAAATCTGATAACTCCATGGGTAGAAGAGGATGTGATGAAATTAGAACTGAATAAGGCAGCAAAGAAATGGAAACTCAAACACTGCTGAAGAAAGGGTAAAATGGAAGAGTCACTTTGAAGAGCAACTTGGAAGTGTTTTTGTAACTTGAAGATGTGTGTACCCTATGACTTGAATTCTACTTCGAGATACATATTCTAGTGCAGTGCTTCTCAAACCACCTGTGGGAAAGAATTTTTTTGTATTTTAATATTTAATAAAATATAATAGACAGGGCACTGACCCACATCACATGTTAAGTAGCACTTCTCTAGAAAAACTCTTGCATGTGTGCACCGAGAGATGTGGATAAGGGTACTACTGCAAAACAGTCTGTAATAAGGAAAAACCAGAAACTAGCTCTTCATTAGTAATCCATCAAATGAGGATCACTCCCAGAATGAAATGTATACACAGCAATTAAAAAAGAAACTAGATCTATATGTATCAATATGAATAAAACTCAGTGTTAGAAAAAAAAAGTTGTAAATAAAAGGGGGGGTTTGATACCACTTCTGTAGTAAAACAATTCTGTGAATTGTTACATACTTAAAGTAACATGGACAGAAAAGATTTATGTCAACTTCAGAACAGAAGCTACTCTGAGAAGACAGGTCAAGAAATAAGACCAGGGATGGGTACGAAGGGAGGCTTCAAATAGATATATAAACATTTTCCTAAAAGAAAATGCAATCTGAAAGAAATATGGCAAGATGGTAAGGCTTCATTATATTGTTCTCTGTATGTTCCTATATATTTGAAATATTTTAATATAAAATAAACTTTCAGCAAACCAAGGAAGAAACAAGTAAGAACCTAAGGCAGCAGCTGACTAACAGTATGCTGGGGTTTTAGGGAAGCCCCTGTGACTTAAAATTAGCTATAAGCAATCCTGCTGTACTTCCAAAGATGGCAATATCTATCCATGCAGATAAAACTAGGTTGTATGTCAACAGTAAGGATGCATACTATAATCCTGAGCTTTGGCAAAAAACCCTCCCTTATTCTGAATCTGTGTACACAAAACCCCTATTCCACCAGAGGCTAGAACTGTTCCCAAACCCTATCCACTGTCCCTGTCCTCGAAAGACAACAGAGGGGGTCAACAACAGAGTGGAGAGCCAAAGCACTTCATCAAGTATTGGCCTCAGCTACGTTTAAAGGCTTTAGGACATCTGAACATACAAAGGAATTTTCCAGGAATTCTCCATCATGTATGATGCAATCTTATTTGAGTCCCATCAATATCCAACATGAGGCTGATAAAGAACATGACAAACTCACAGCACATGTACTTAGAGACTTCCATTTCAGAAAGAAATCCAAGTACCTATAACAGCCTTTTTCCTCTCTGTCTCAGCTTCTTTCTCCACAACCTTTTGTTTCTGTGCAGCTATTAGAAGTTTCGTCTTCTCAGCCTCCCTGTGGGAAAAAAAATTACAAAAAATTAGAAATGATCTATAGTCATAGATAGTAATTCTGACACTACAGTGGTTCAGAGCATCATTTTCAATAAGAATTTTCTGACTCGCTAAAGTAGGCAAGAGAGGTGTTATCCTATTTTACTGATAATAAGTCTGAGGTTGAAAGGTTAAATGATTTGTCCGAAGTCACCCAGAAACAGCAATCAAGTTTAATATATTTCGGTCTGACATGTTCAGTTGCTCAGTCATGTCCAACTCTTTCTGACCTCATGGACTGTAGCCTGCTAGACTCCTCTGTCCATGAAATTATCCTGGCAAGATTACTAGAGTGGGTTGCCATTTCCTACTCCAGGGGATCTTCCCAACTCAGGTACTGAATCCATGCTTCCTTTGTCTCCTGCAATGGCAGGGAGACTCTACCACTGAACCACCTGGGAAGCCCTTAAGCTGACCTTTTCCACTAACTGTATCAAGAAAAGGCCTGTGATCTGGAAGTGTCTGAAGTATAGAAATGCTCCCTTTGCTGTTAGGCCTCCAGCTAAACTGGACCAACTAGCAAAAGGCACTAACCTCTGGGAAGGTGCAGCCCCTTGGAGCGCGGTTTGGCAAGCAGAAGGGGGCTGGATTTCAAGCCCTCTTCCAGCAGACACTCTCATGGAGTGTCCCTGTTTGTTGTACAGAAGATAAAACCAGATGGCCGTTCTTAATTAGGTGGTGAACTGGGGCTCAATGTACAAAAGAACATTCTAAGAATTTGAGCTTCCTAATAATGGAAATAGGTGGCCCGTCACTAAGCATGGACAAATGGCTACTGGGGGACCACACGGAATGTAGGGTATTAAAAAAAAGATATGTATTAGGAGGGAGGTTAGACTGCATTATTCCAAGATAGCCTTTAATTGTGGAATTCCAACAGTCTTTAAACTCAGGAAAGATCCAGAATCCAGACACTCCAATAGTTTCCCCAAACATCACTCTCCCCAACCTCTCTCCTTTCCTCCTAGTAGCAGATAAAAGATATAAAATGACATTCTGGATACTATGAGTTATTTGAGGGCAGAGAACACATAGTATCCATATTTCCATCACCAGAAACTATTTAAAGTCTAAGACATCCTGAGCCTTCAAGAAATTTTTTTCTTCTATAAATGGATCAGACCCATGATCTACTCAGTCTAGCACTCTGTGCTTTATAGTTTTAAAACAGTTCTTTTTCTACAATAAAAAAGGGGAAACAAAATTATGCATAATAGAAGGTATAGACTTGGGAACAATAAGGAGTCAGAAGTATATCAGTCTATAAAGTATTATTATTACTTTTTGGACGCCCTGTATTTATACATCTTTTGTATTCTTGACTTTTGCAAAGTTAGTTTTCTAGCATTTCATATTTTGCCTCTTAACATATCTTCCAAGTTTCCTAAAGACTTTTAGGAAGACAGAATAATAATACTTTAGTTTCCAAGACTTCAGTTTCTTCTTTTCAGTACCTGTCATGATACCCATTGTCAGAATCTGGCTTTCTGGGCTGTGGACACATAAGCCCTTACATGGTTATATATACTTGGGAAATTCAGATTCTGAAGGCTGACTTTTCTGTATCAAGAACTGTATCTCTCAGAAGTGTTTGACTTTACTAGTTAAACATCCAGTACACAACCCCACACCTGACTGCACATACACAAAAACATTTTGACTACAATAGGTAGTCCTTTAAAAGGAATCTTCTAAAGCTCTCAGAAACTAACTTCATGTCAAGCAAGTAACTTCTTCATTCCCAGTCTGCTCTGGACACATAAAAGAGAAAACTACCAGGAGTCAAGGCAAGCAAAGCTTCCCCAAAGGCAAATTATAAAGATCAGATCTAATTTTAGATACACAATCACATACAATGGAAAAGCAAACTTGATACCAATGTGTTTATTCTTACCATTTATAACACAGTAACAAAATACAGGCACTCTCTTCAACCTTAACAGCTAGGACTCTTTCTCTCCTCTATTAATATTTATTTCAAGCTATTATTCACATCCAAATTATAGCTCCTTAGGCTTCCAACAACAGTTTTACAGCAAACTGCATCTTGAGCCACTGAAGCTGCTCCTGAAATGTCCATATATAAACAGAAAACTAATAAAGGTCTAGTGGGAACTAAGACACCAGAATAAATAGTATTATTAGAATTAAAGTATGGAAGATATAGACATATACCCTTCCCCAGTGTAATTATCTCAAACATAATTTTTTCCTCTAGACAGGTAAGATAAATATGTAGACAACCCAAAATAAAAATATTGAGATCCCATGCATATTACTCACATTAACTCAAAATTTCTTCTTATGGCTTCTGGGATTTTGGGTTTTGTAACACGCACAGCCTAAAAAATAAAAGCGAAAAAGCCAAAGTATATTTGAAAAATAAATCTTTAAATCTTGTACAAAAGAGTGCCTCAAATGAAACTAATATTAAAGAGCTATGACATAGCTGCCTACAAACACACGTAGGGATCCAATAGAAAATCTATTTTTTCCTGCCACCACACCAAAGTCAAAGATAAACTGCTTCTTGTTTCCTTAAAAAAAATGCTTGGCTAATGGATTTCCTCTATCCATTGAGGAAATAAATTTTTAGAGAAAAGATTCTTCCTTAAAAGATCTTTCACAAAGCTCTTAAATTGAATACTTTTGTTTCATTGCAAACCTGAAAGTCAAAGAAACAGAAGAAAGGCAAAATTTCAAGATTTAAACTGTAAAGTAGGAAACAGTCAAAAACAAAAACAAACCCTCATGGGTATACGCAACTTAATATAGTGGACAGTAAATGAATATATCACTTCCTAAACCTGCAGTCATTCACTATTGATTACAAATAAATAGCCCAACACTGAGGAAAAACATACACCAATTAATAATTAACAAACACCAATTAGCAGGTTACATTCTTTCTCCCTAGAATCTTGTTTAGAACAAAGTCTACGTGTCTCTGCAAACATTTTCTATTACACAGATTCCCTAATCATAGTGTACCTTGGCATAATTATCTATGAAACAGGATAATTTTGGGGTGCAAGAGCCAGGTACAAAAGCCCCTGTGTGTTGCCTGTTTCTTTTTTGTAGAAAAGGGCTTTAGTCTCCTGGGCCTTTCCTGAGGTCAAAAGAACAAACTCAAGCAGTCAAGAAACAATAATTTATAAAACAGGGTTAAGGGATATATCTAACAACCTGATGCATGTCTCTGACTCATTCTGCAGGAGCTAAGGCCTCACCCAGGTGGAGGACGGTGACTACACGCTAAGCATGAGCACACAGACCCCAGACTGGTTGGCACAAGAAGACTGATGATTAATATTTCTGGAATATTAACCAGAACAAAGTCATGCCTCCTACAACCCTCACTTCAAATGCTGCCTTTAAAAACTTCCCTTAAAGCTATTAAGGAGTTTGGGTCCTCTGAGCATCAGTTGCCCACTCTCCTTGCTGGATCCTGCAAATAAACTTTTACTTTGGTGCAAACAACAACTGTCAAGAGTTTGGCTTTCTGTGCTGTGGACACACAAGCGCTTACACGGTTACATCTATGTGGGAAATCCAGGTTCTGAAGGCTGATTTTTCTGTATTAAGGACCTGACCTCTCAGAACTGTTTGATTTTACTAGCTAAACATTCTGTACCACCCTCCACATGACTGCATGCGCATGCGCGCACACACGCACACACACAACACCTTGCTGATCTGAAGGAACTTTTAATTTCCCTCTGAAAATTGGTTGAACTTTTAAGCAACAAGGCTTTTAGGCACGAAGACTTCATTTAGGGCTTTTGAAAGAAAGCTTTTAAAACTTTTAAGCAACACAGCCTACCCTCCATAAAAAAGCTGGATCTGTGCATAACTGAGGATTATCATAACTAAATATAAGAATTAGAGTGAAATGGAATAAGCAGCTGGGGACCATGGTTAAAAAAACCTCAGTTTTCATGCTGAAGGTTGTAGCATGTGAGGTTATGAAGAAGAACTCAAGGACATATCCAGAAGACAAAGAAAAATTCAGAACCAGAATTGGTAACAGATGCCCGATTTCCCTATGTGAGTACCAGAAAGACAGGTGACCTCCAATATGATTCAGAGGGAAGCAATGGCCACGTGTTTTCCTAGTCTTAGAAAGTAGCATGAAATAGAACTGTCTTCTGAAGACTTCTATCTTGCTGTGTGAGGCTGAAGAATATACTACACACTTGTCAATCTTGGGAAATCTCATAATTTTCAAATATGTGAAACATAAGCACCTACTGATATAGAGACCATGAATAATTTGCTTCATAAAGAGATTTAAGAAATAAAATGTACCCCAAAACAATGGTCAAATACACAAACACACAGAGTGAATGAAGAAAGGGAAAAAGGCTGGTGAAATGAGCGTGGCTGTTGAAACTGAACCCTGGGTCATAAGCACATACTTTAAACCAAAAGCCAGCATATAATATAATCACTGCCTTAAATAGCATAGGAAAAAAAAAAATCAAGAATTTTTTCACCATTTCAATTTGCCACAGTAATTGTTAAAGAAGGAAAAATGCAGGGCTTCCCTAGTGGCTCAGTGGTGAAGAATCTGCCTGATAATGCAGGAGACACAGGTTCGATCCCTTGGGACTATTTCACATGTCACAGAGCAACTAAGCCGGTGAGCCACAACTCCTGAGCCCACATGCTGCAGCGCTGAAGCCTGCGTGCTCTAGAGCCCTTAATCCTCAACAAGACAAGCCATGGCAACACGAAGCCTGTGCACTGCAACTAGAGAGAAGCCCCTGCTTACCACAGCTAGAGAAAGGCCCTCATAGCAACGAAGACCTAGCAAAGTAAAACAAATAAAATTTCTAAAAAAAAGAAAAAAAATGGGGTACAAATATAGAGAAGGGAAAAATTAAAACACTGAGTGTTACAGAGAAGGTTCACTCAACAAGTATTAATTGGGTGCCTAGTCGAACCAACTACTGTTTGTTTCAACCACTGTGGATACAGCAATAAACAAGGCAAGACTGCGCTCATAGACTTTAAAATTTTAAAAGGACAAAAAGACAGTAAATAACAACAAAAAGCATATAAATAAACAAAAGAATTTCAGATAGTTATTACTGTTATGTGGAAAATTAAAATACTAGATTGGGAGGAAAGTCAACATTTTAATTTTGGCATAATTACATAGCTAAAAAAAACTCTAGAGAAATTCATAAAGTTTTCATCAAGTAAAATAAATAGCTCCAGAGACCTATTGTACAACATTGTACCTACAGTCAATAAAATGTACACTTAAAATTTTTGTACACTTAAAATTTAAGAGGGTAGATCTCAAGTTAAGTATTTTTACCACACACACACAGAAATCTAAGGAAATTAACTGAAAAAATTACTAACGATAGTTTATTCAGAAAAATCTGTAGATATACAATAAAACCATCAAGAATTGTTTGCATTCCTCAATGCTTAAAAATAGACTACATATTTAATAGCATTAAAGTTCATTAAATTTATGAATATTAATTTAACTTGGTATATGGGTTTCTCACCTAAGTCAGAAATTCTAAAAGAAACAAAAATGATAATATAAGTAAAGTCATAGACTATATTCCTAATTTTAAAATGTACAAGCCAATTTAGGTACCTGGTATGCCTCAGTAGTGAAAACTCATCATGTAGAGTTAATTGGACATAAATATCAAAGGCCATTATTTTTGAAAAGACAATACATTTTACCAAAATTTTAAAAGTGACTAAAAAGTTGAATTATCATAACCATAAGGTAACATGTTAAAGATAGGAACACTGAAAAATAGCCTTTAAGTTTTAAAAATGCATTTCAACTATAAGAAGCTATTTTATAACAAGACTAAAGCAACCAAAAAATGGAGATCTTGATCAGTTTAAAAAAATGAATATAAAGTGATTTTTTTTCATTCAACAACTTTTAATAAAAACAACAAATAAATATAGTTAAGTTTAAAAGATCCTTTTTCCTGCCATGCAGTAGACAAGTAAAAGTGAGAAAACAAGACAGGAGACTATTGCAGAAATTCAGGCAAAAGACAGTATTTGGTTTAAGGAGGTGGCAGAGATGTTTTAGATGGATTCAGCAGAATCAGCAGGATCCAGGGACTGGATGTTAAGGGCAAGAGGGTTGTCAAAGATGCCTCCCATACATTTAGACTGGCCTGAGGCTAAGAGGGAATCATTTACTAACTAGAAGAAAAAAACAGGAGAGAAGCAGATTGGATGGGAAAAGATGAAAGGCTCAGTAACTGATGGAAGAACAGGAAACAGAAAAAGCAATGGAACAGAACAAAGTCCAAAAAAACGACTTTACCATATAACAAAATTTAGCATACAATACCATCGGTGTTTCAAACAAGGAAGACAGAAGGGCATAAATTATTCAATAATTACTGTTGTTAATAATTGGGGGAGGGACTGGAGTTCAACCTCACAACTAAAAATGAATTCCAGGTGAATTAAAATTTTAAACCTAAAAATACAACTATAAAAGTAGAGAAAAAATATAATTTCTGATTTTATTTAGATTTTTATATTTTAAAGTTGGTGAAAGGCTCTTAAAAGCATGCTAGCACAGCAAAATGTCATAAAGAAAACAATATTAAAATTACTGCTAAAAATACTAAAATTAAACTTCAGAATTGTCAAGGGGAAAAGTTCAATGGCAAAAAAGAAAGCTAGGAGAAAATGTTTCCTATGCATTTGAGTTGCCATAATTAACATATCAAAAATAGTTTAAGTCAATGAGAAAAACAGATAAAAACCAAAAAATGAGCAAACATACATCCGAGGATATTCAATAATTAACACAAAATACCAGACACATTTTCTCCAAAAGGATTTAGAGACACGTTATCTGTTAATTATTTGGGTACAATCACACAATCAAATGTACAGAAAACAACAGCTCATGAACACTGCTGATGAGTGAGCGCAAGATGCTAAAATTTTTCCGAAATGCAGTTTGGCAATATGTAACAAAAAGTCCCCATACAGGGCATACACTTTGACTCATCAATCCTACAATTGAGAATTTATCCTGTACTTCCCTGGTGGCACAGTGGGAAAGAAACCGCCTGTCAACGCAGGAACACTGGCTGGATCCCTGGTCTGGGAAGATTCCTCATGCTGCAGAGCAATTAGGCCCGTGGGCCACAGCTATTGAGCCTGCGAGCCCTTTAGCCTGTGCTCCACAACGAGAGAAGCCACTGCAATAAGAAGCCCACACACCGCAACAAAGAGCAGTCCTGGCTCACCACAACTTGAGAAAGTCCTTGCAAAGAAATGAAGACCCAGCACAGCTTAGTCATCACAACATGTACATAACAGTAAAAACGAAGCCACAGGGATTAAATTAAAACATTAAAAGTGATGATGTAGCCAATCTTATTTCTGACTTGAAAAGACACTTACACATTGTTGGTGAAAAAAATGGTTAGGGTATGATTCCATTTTAGTCCAACATTAGGGCAAAGATTATGAATAGGCAATTGACAGAAGAGTGCAAATGGACAAAAATTAAATAAAAAGATGTCAACCTCATTAACAACTAATGAAATGCAAATCAAAGAGATATTCAATAACTTCACATGTATCCATGTGTCAAAAATCAGCATGTCTGATTGCTTCACATGTTGACAAGGTTGTGGAAAAACAAGTAGTCACAAATACTGCTGGTGAGAATGTAGATTTATACAGCCACTTTGAAAGATAAACTGTACATACAAGGAGATGTGTCAGGAATATTCACTACACTATTGTTTATTAAAGGCAAATTGGAAACAATAGGGAAATATTTATGTAATATAAGGCAAGGAACTATACGGGGTTGTAAAGAAGAACGAGCTAGATCTCCAAGTAACAACTTGAACAGAATGTAAGAATCTGTGACATTCACTCTACCTTTAAAATTGAAAAGCTACTCCAGAACAACCAAAAGGGTTTTACAAAGTTATCTCTGGACATTTCAAGAGACCCTGTAACTTGGGCAGCTTCCCCTCAGGCAGCCAGCAGAGATAATGGCACAGCAAGGGGGAGGACAGGGAAATACCCTAGGACTTGTTTATGAGATTGCACCTGATCACTCGGAGTGAATGCACACTTCTCAGAAGCAGTATGATCTAGAAACTGAGAAAGCATATTAGAGAAGTCATATTCACCACTTCTCGGATAATCCAGATCCAGAGTCACTGCTTTCCAATGTTACTGAGCACGACTACAGTAGAAAAGGCATCTTACAGTGACACCCAACAATAACACCTACCCCACACACTTACATTATACAAACAAGTTTCACAGAATGGTACTTAAAACTTACTACAAGCCATGTGCCCGGGTTTCTTTTCCTATTCAATTCCATTTTATTTAAAGGCTAGTCATAACCCACTAAAACTGATTTTAGAACCTAATAATGGATTTCAACCCACTCTGAAAAAATACTGACCCCAAAAAGCAGTTTTTCTCACTATTCTATCTCCCAATGCCTCTGCTACCATCATACCACCACTAAATTCATCTGTTACCTCGCTTTTACTTAGGTCATTCCATCCACTTGAAAAATCTGCCTTATTCCTTTCCCCGATATAAGTCCTATTAATTCTTCTAGACCTATCAAAATTCCCAGCCAGTCATTTCCAGGCAGACTTTCTTGAAGTGTTCTTTTAACTTAGAGCAAAAGTCATCCAGTCAATTCATCTGTCAATGAATACTTTGTGATATCTACTTTGTCTGGAATTATTGTTCGAATTTTATACTTGAAATTCTTTTTCATAATCTTACTGATGTCAAGGATCAGTCTTACACTGACTTAACACCATTACTGTAACTTAATAATGCCTCAAACACAGCAGTATACGGATTTTATTTCCTGCATGAACCTCAGCTTATCAGTTCCAAGAGTTCAGAAAAAAATGCTACCCATAACCTAAAGTTAAACCGAGAAAGACAGACTATAATTTACCAAAGCACTTCAGTTAAATAACTGCTTAATAAACAGTCCTATTAAAGGATAATCAAATTCAAAGCTCTCAAAATTCCCAAAGAATTTCCCTAGGAGAAGGGCTTACCTGTATGGTGAGGCCTGGGGCCATGACGTTTAAATCTTTCTGCAGAGCTTGCTTGAGGTTTTCATCTATTTGATCTGTTTTTGAAGCCAAGAACAAGAGCTCTCACGACACTCAGAAAAACAGTCTTAACACTGTGCTAGCACTAAAACAAAACTAATTATTATTAGATCTAAAGTTTCCATGGTATTCTTTTATAGAGCTTGAGCCATGTCACACACATATGAAAACAAATAAATATATATACAAATGAGAAAAAGTGTGAGGAATTATTGGACAAAGAAACTGAGGAAAGACAACAAGCAGCCACTGACGTTTATCCAATAAATGGAGGATCTAGGTTTCTAATGTCTTAATCAGTATTGTGATTTATGTGTGTCTTGCTTCTCTAAAAAAACAAATTTCTATCTTTAGTCAATCTTTATTCAAATTCTCAAATAACTAAATTTCATTTCTATGGAACTCAGCTGGTTATTTTAGATTTAGAAAGAGAGAGGGAAGGGGAAAGCCTCACGGGAAAGTTCTTAAAGAATACAAGAATAATGATGTCACTTCACTTGACTTTATAATCCACAAATTTTTCTATCCACCTCATCAGTACTTCCCCCATTACTAAATAACCAGTAATGTGACAAATAAGAAAAGGCCAAATTTTCTCAAACACCATTCCAACAGCTCGTAACCAACAACGAGGAATCAACTGATAGATTTCTACACTGATAAAGCATTCCTATATCTGCCTCTAAGAAATTCACTAATAATTCCAGAAGAGAGAAGGAGGCAGCCAATAGCAGCAACCTAACCCCTGGCCAGAACTTTCAGTATCACAAATGAAAATTAACTTGTACATAAAAGAATTAACATAGCAAGCCTGAAAACTACTATCCTAGAAAGGCCTATTTGCAATTGGTCTCTGTCTGTCACCTGGGGTTGTGGATTTGGAGAGCATTTCATTTCCACAATCCCCAGAACTGGGAAGAATGACTTCACTGTGCCTAAATTGTTTATTCAAACAATGTATTTTACGCTGAGTATCTACTTTCCTTCTGGAAATCTGGAATATTGGTATTGATACATGCTAGGCAGAGGGTACCTACATGAACAACTTCCAGAAAAAATTCTGGGCAGAAAGTCTCTAAGGAGCTTCTCCAGCAGACAACATCTCACATGTGTTGTCACATTTCAAGGCTGGGGTAATCAAGTGTATCCTGCATGACTCCACTGGAGAAGACTCTTGCAAGATTGTGCCTGATTTTTCTTCAGACTTCCATGTGCCTTTTCCTTTTGCGATTTTGCTGTGTATCTTTTTGCTGTAGTACATCTCAGCTGTGAGTATAATTATATGGAGTCCTGCCAGTCCTCATCAAACGTGGAGGTGAGTCTTGGGAAACTGCAAGACACAGGTTCTAAATTCCCCAAATTATCTACTAAAATAGCAACAAAACTGGGCTTCCCTGGTAGCTCAGCTGGTAAAGAACCCGCCTGCAATGCAGGGGACCCTGTTTTTATTTCTGGGCCAGGAAGATCCTCTGGGGAAGGGATAGGCTACCCATAGCAGTATTCTTAGGGTTCCCTGGTGGTTCAGATGGTAAAGAATCTGCTTGCACTGCAGGAAACACAAGTTTGATCCCTGGGTTGGGAAGATCCCCTGGAGGAGGGCATGGCAACCCACTCCAGTATTCTTGTCTGGAGAATCCCATGGACAGAGAAGCCTGGCAGGCTTCATGGGGTCCCATACAGTCGGATGCAACTAAAGAGACTGAGAGCGCACAGGCAAAGCTAGTTTTTAGTAAATTATCATGGCACAAATAGGATATTGTAAGAAATGAATCTTTTTCCAATCTGTACCAAGTTATACACTATACATTTCAGAAAATGATTATCATTCTTAAAGTATCTTAAGTAACAATTTGCTTAATTTAAGCAATTTTAAGCAAAGAAATTTTAAACTTAAGATGAAGAATATTTTAAACACAACTGCTCTATTATAAATTCAGAAGAAATGCACAAATAACACATTCACAAACAAGTTGAACAAGATTTCTAATTGGTTATTCATATATTTAAAACAAATAAGACTCACCAAACAATTCAATGTAAACTTCTTGAAGTGTATGGGCACTGCAAAACTGGTTCAGTTCATGGTGGATTTTATTGAAGATTAAGGTCTTATCATAATCTGCAGTGTAGTTCCTCACGATATCAAACACTGGAAGAAAGGTACAATTCATGTTTACCTGTGTATCCTCTAATTCAGCCAAGGTAAAAGTTAGTTATAAAATATACATAAGAAGCGCCAATGAAACAGTGAAAACATGGAACACAACTCCAAGCCTTGATGTGTTTCTTAACGTGCTTAGTATTTCACATATTACTGTATTTGCGATTCTAATAAGCAAACTGTGAGTTCCATACTAAGGAGAGTATATATTATCTTGAAGGTAATAAGGAACTGTCAAAGTTTTTGAGCAAGGACATGACACTATCAGACTGTTACTTTGGCAGCAGAGTGAAAAATGAACTCTAAGGCACAGAAATCAGAAGCAGAGAAAGTATAAAGAAGCTATGATTGAAAAGCAAAAGTTTAGATGAAGAGAACCTGAACTAATTGAGGAACAGTGGAAATGAAAGAGGGAAGTAGCTCCAAAAGGCCACTTTCAAAAAGGCAGTTTTCAAAGGTTGGGGGAAAAAAAAAAGATGCTAGGCTAGAAGGGAAGGAAGCTAACATTTCTGGGCCAGGCTTTTTGTCTAGCAATTTATATACTTCCTTAACACACAATCCCCACAAAAAAATCTAATTTTGCATAATATGAAACTGAGAAACAGAATTTCAGAAATGTGCTAAGGGTATATACTATACCGTGCCAGAACCTAAGCCCTACTTATTAAAACATGCTGCTTTCTCCCTTCAAACCCAAGACATGCTCTACTGGCCTTCCTATGGAGGAAACTAGAAGTTACTAGACTGCAGATCACAAACAGGTCATCAAAAAACACTCAGTGGCTAATTCATTCTCTTGGTCATTTACAAATGAGTCAGTGATCCAATAGTTTCCTCTTTATCTCTCGCCAGAAAACAAGCAATATCTCCCCTTCTTCTGTTTGTTTTTCAATCACAGTCCATTCCACTGATCTGTGACCAGGGCAGGTGAGAAAGTGAAGTCAAGTGAAAGTGTTAAGTTGCTTAGTCACGTCTGACTCTTTGCGACCCCATGGACTATAGCCCTCCAGACTCCTCTGTTCATGCAATTTTCCAAGCAAGAATACTGGAGTGGGGTGTCATTCCCTTCTACAGGGGATATTCCCGACCCAGGAATTGAACCCGAGTCTCCTGCATTGCAGGCAGATTCTTTACCATCTGAGCCTCCAGGAACACCCTTGTGACCAGGGAAACTAGATGATAAAAGACAGGAAAATACTTAGTTGCTGAAAAATATAATCCAAATCCACTTGATAGTAACACAGCTGTTACTGAAACTCTGTTCTGAAATTCTTTTGCTATTTATGCCTGTACCAGTGACATGAAATTCAACTAGACCTTACATTCCAATATATATGTATTTTTAGGTCAGTATCATGCCTTCTCAAGAGGGAAAAAAAAAAAAAACCCTTAAGGCAAAGGTCTAACTTCATGTTTTTGAATTGTTTTTGCTGAACACAGTATCCTGACATTGTATGTGTGCAAATTTTAGTAATAAGAATAATTATTAATAAGTAATACTTAATAAGGAAAAGTATTACTACTTAGTAATAAGGATAATAAAATGACAGATCTTTAAAAAAATTTTATTACAGTATAATTGATTTATAATGTATTAATTTCTACTGTACAGCAAAGTGATTCAGTTATACATACAGACACATTCTTTTTCATGTTATCTTTCATTATGCTTTATCACATGATAGTGAATATAGTTCCCTGTGCTATACAGTGGGGTCATACTGCTTATCCATCTTTTATATAACAGTTTGCATCTGCTAATTCCAAACTCCCAACCCACCCTCCCCCAAGGCAACCATAAATCTGTTGTTTCATAATGTGTGTCATATTTTAGATTTCATATGTAATTGGTATCATACCATTATTTGTCTTTCTGACTTTACTTAGTATGATAATCTCTAATCTATCCATGCTGCTGCAAATTAGCATTATATCATTCTTTTTTTATGCTGCATACATTCCATTAGATGTAATGTACCACATCCTTTTTAATCCATTCATCTGTTGATGGACATTTAGGTTGTTTTCATGTAAATAGTGCTACAATGAACACTGGGGCATGTATCTTTTCAAATTATAATCTGTCTAGGTACATGCCCAGGAGTAGGATTGCTGGATCATATGACAGCTTTATTTCTGGTCTTTTGAGGAATCTCCATATTGTTTTCCATAGTGGCTGCACCAATTTACATTCCTACCAACAGCACAGGAGGGTTTCCTTTTCTCTACAGCCTCTTCAGAATTTGTTATTTATAAGACTTTTAAACGATGGCCATTCTGATCAGTGTGAGGTGGTACCTCATTGTAGTTTTGATTTGCAGTTCTCTAATAATTAGTGATGTTGAGCATCTTTTCACGTGCCTATTGAGCATCTGCATGTCTTTTTTTGGAGAAATACCTATATAGGTTTTCTGAAAATAGCAGATCTTTTGATTAAAAGTAAGATCTCAAAGAGACCCATGTATACCCATGGTCATAGCAGCATTATTCATAATAGCTAAAACATGGAAGTAACCTAAGTGTTCATCAACGGATGAATGGATAAACAAGATGTGGTATATACACACAGTGGAATATTATTCAGCCTTAAAAAGAAAGGAAATTCTGACATGCTGCAACACAGATGAACTCTGAGGACATTATATTAAGTGTTAAATAAGCCAGTACAAAAAGACAAACACTATATGATTCCATTTATGAGGTACCTAAGAGTAGTCAAACTCATAGAGACAGAAAGTACACAGAAATGTCACAAAGAGAAAGGGTGGTTGCCAGGGGCTGGGAGAGGGGGCAGATGGGAAGTTACTGTTTAATGGGTAGAGAGTTTCAGTTTTGCAAGATGAAAATGAGTTACAGAGATGGATGTTGGTGATGACTGTAAAACAATGTGAATGTATTTGATGCCCACTGAATATTTAAAAGTGGTTAAGATCGCAAATTCTGTTGTATGTATTTTATCAAAATAAAAAAAATTGGGAAAAAAATCAAACATTAAAAAGAAAGCCAATCTTACTTCAGAAGTTCTCATTCAGTTTTTTATTTGAACAGTACTCCATTTCTGGGGTTTTTCATCTATTACCAAGAAAATGTTTTCCCCACACTGAGGACTTTCAGATTGCAAGTTATAGCAAATCTCAGCTAAAAAAGATTTTTCGGTGGTCACAAATCAATGTGGTCAAGGAACTGATCAGTTACAGACTTTCAATGTGTAAGGAAATTATTTCTCATCCTGACTGGATGAAATGTCACTTTCTAGGAATTCTAGAAATAATCAATGACTATCTTGCTAAATACACTCAGCTCAGAGAGGAGTATCCCATACAGTTGCAGAAAGTCAACTTTGTCCAGGATTTGTGACCTATCACTATCACCATTCCCTAAGAATGGAAAATATTCCAATGATTATTTTATATAGAGATAGATCAGAAATGAATCAGGTCATAAAATTTTCCTTAGGGAATCTCTTCCTATTCTTCAGGGACTCTCTCAGTTACAGATACTCTGATTATAACTCTAACAGAATAGATGGGTACCATACCTGCACAAGGGGCCAACATATTAACCACTTCTATTCGGTCAATATAGATCATGACCCCACCACTAAAAACAGAGAAATGGAAAAATGTGAGCCAAATACAAACTAATAGAGTCCCAGATTAATCCCACATCATCCAACAACCCCACAAGATAGAAATTTAGAAGTAAAATCTGAAGATATACTACTGATTAAAACTACCTCATTAATCACTACTCAAATAACCCCTATACACACTCACCTGGCTCCTCTCATAACCAAAGGCTCTCCTTTGTAAATGCTGTTATCACATGAGCTCACAGGAAGACTAGACCTAAAACCTAGAGCTGCTTAGTACTCTCTCCTTATTAACTGAAGCCAACAGCTAAAGCAGTGCATTCCCCAAACTTCTCCAACAAGGAACCAGATAAAATAGTTTCCCAAGAGGTACAGAGGTCAGCCACAAACTGAAATTCTTTTGATTTCCTGCCTTATCTTAATCTACTTTTCATCTGTATTTATTCTAATATGAAAAAAAGAATTTTCCCCCAAAACGTGAAGTAAAATTGACACTCCAGAAAGATAGCTCTTGTTAATTTAATGGTTTCCTATAGTTCCTGGCCTACCAGCACACATCCTGAAGGACATGTAAACCTCAGTTTAAGATATATGAAGTTAAAGAGATTTTGAAAATATACAATTAAGCCCTTCTATCAACTTACAATAACATTTTTTTCTGATAAAAAAAGCATAATACCTGCTCACAGGCAAAAAATCTGACAAACATAGGAAAGCATGAAGATAAAAATAAAATTTATCCAACATCTCATCAGCTGCCAATTTTGAGTCATCTTTGAAGGGAATCCATAAAAGAGAGTTACAGATAGACCTAGAGAGAACTTGGTATCAAATACCTTAACTTAAAACAGAGAGAATCTGCTCCCTTTTTAAGAGCATTCCTGTCCTTCCACAGATGTCAAAGCCTCTTTTACAGGCTTTAAAAAGTGATATATTAATCATTTAAAATACAGAATTTAAAACATACTTTGAGCTTTATACTCTTTCTTTGATACAATGCAATGTACTGATTATACTCTTTGGGCCTTGCCTGCCTTTCCTGCCCCACAACTCTTTAGGGCAGTGATTTTCTAAATATGGTCTTTGGACCAGCAGTATTAGCATCACCTGGGAACTCTTGCTAGCAATGCAAATTCTTGGCTCTCATTCCAGACCTACTGAATCAGAAACTCTAAATTAGATGGCATTTAATACTACACTTGATATGGTGAGCTAATTCCATTTTAAACTGTTACTATCAGTTTAAAATGACTCCTAAGATGGAAAGTTCCTGTTTGGAGGCAGGGCTTTTCTCAAATAACGCTCAGAAGAGAAATTCCCCTGGGTTACTATCACGCCTATCTGAAAGATGTTTAAGCGACTACAGCTTATGAACAGAAACTACATCTGAATCAAAGGGATGTTGGCAAGCAAGGGGAACGCTTACCTTGTTCCACAAGGCACATTTTTAACTTCATCAGTTTGTAGTGTTGTCTGGGGAGGAAAAAATATCTCATCAATACTCAGCACACATATCATCAAGGAACCACTAGAGCTAAAGGAAAATCTCTACAGAACTGCTAAGAGATAAGTACAAGAGAACTCCATTACAATTTTAGCCCCCCAAAGATTAACTATCAGAGTTAATGTATCCTTGTTGTTCAGTTGCTAAGTTGTGTCTGATTCCTTGCAACCCCATGGACCTCAGCATGCAAGGCTTTCCTGTTCTACACTATCTCTCGGAGTTTGCTCAAACTCATGTCCATCGAGTTAGTGACGTCATCCAACCGTTTCATCCTGTCATCCCCTTTTCCACCTGCCCTCAATCGTTCCCAGCATCAGGGTCTTTTTCAATGAGTCAGCTCTTCACATCAGGTGCCAAAGTATTGGAGCTTCAGCATCAGTCTTTCCAATGAATATTCAGGGTTGATTTCCTACAGGATTGGTTTGATCTCTTTGCTGTCCAAGAATTCTCAAGAGTGTTTTCCAGCACCACAGTTCAAAACCATTAATTCTTCAGCATTCAGCCTTCTTTATGGTCCAACTCTCACATCCGTATGTGACTAGAAAAACCGTAACTTTGACTATATGGATGTTTCCTGGCAAAGTGATGTCTCTGGTTTCTAACATGCTGCCTAGGTTTGTCATAGATTTTTGTATCCGAACAGACATAAAAGACCAGAGACAAAATATTTTATAGTTAATGTTTGAGTCAAGATGCACAAGGAAAAGTTTCAACGTTCAATCTCTCAATCAGAGTCCTTTATTTGCCTGGGGTTGGCCTAGGATTGCAAACTACATGGAATACCCACAAGGATACTATTGATAGGACTTGTGTTTTGAACTCTGATTCGACTGCTAATATTAATGCTTACAATGAAGGTAAAAGATAACTATTATATGCATACAAGTAGCCCTTTGAACTCAACAGCAACCTCTTCCTCTGAAGCTGTAGGCAATATTTTAGGTCAGGTCCTAGTTATCTCTCAGATGGCCTATTCAATTTCCTTTTTAACAGAACTGCCACCATCAGCAGTGCTTCCTCCTAGTGAACCAACAATATGGCACTTAATTACTCTACCCCTGTCATAACTTGATTTGGATCCGGAATGACTCCCTATTGCACTGGAAGGCATCCAATAGGTGAGCACACAATGAGTGTATCCTGGACACAATGCACTGTATTAAGCTTGTTGTTGTATTAAGTACAGCAACAGAGTACTTGACAGAATACAAAGGAGAAAGGAATCATGGCCCCTATTTCCAAAGAACTCACAATCCAACACAGGAGAGAAAATCCTTATGAAGCAATTCGTAACAGATACAAATTAGGTATTAACTGGCAGAGTTAAATAACCAGCCACATAACTGTGTGTATAAGTGTCAGGAAGCAGTTGGCTTGCCTGGAACAGGAAAGGCAATATAGATGAGGTGAGGCTCTGAGAAGAGAACATGATGATGTTAGGGAGAGGACCTTGAATATTGGCTCCGGGGTTTGTGCTCTCCCTAATCCATCCTATAAATAGCCACAAAATGAACCTTTCAAAAAGATGACTTTTTCTTCATTCCTTTGCTTTTGTGTGATGTGGCTCTCATTATCTATCACATCTGCAGGCAAGACCACCAGCTGGGAAGCTAAAGTAGTGATTTATTTAGATTAACATAGAAAAGGCCATGGAAAGGGAAAGTTGTCAACCCAGGAGACATAACAGGAATTTGACAACTAAGTGCATATAAAATTCCAGGACAGAAAAGAATAGACTATGAATTCTAGGGTTAAAAGGGTGATAATAAACATTAGTGACAGGTCCTGAGTAGGGAGAGAGAAGTTGATATGAAAGGTGAGCTCAGTTTATTCCCTTCAAAACATTAACCAAATTCAACTGCCAGATCAACTTTACATATACATTTCTATCTAAACCTAAAGGATAGTCTTCAATTGTCAAACCAAGAACCAGCAAGAGTTCAAAGGTTAAAGCTTCAATTTGACATCCTATTTTCATGTACTTTTTTACTTCTTTTATATTATCTCAAAAATCATTTTCCCAGTATAAATACTTTAAAGTCTTTGGTTTTGTTATATGTATTTTAAAGGCTAAAAGTGTTCATATTTTTCTAAACATTTTTTTTCTTACATCATATATGGGGACCTCACATTTCCCCAAGATGCTTCTTAAATATTCCTATCAAATGCTAAATCTGTTAAGCCATTTGTTTATATAAGTTATGTCCTCTAATGTGTTCCAAAAATTCCTAAAAATAAGTTTCTGCATCTCATTCCTATGAAAACAACTTCTTAAGAGGGTTTTATTAATATAATTCTTTCCTAGAACATTGCTGTTTCACATATAAAGACCATCTCCATTTAGTCAAACTGACTCCAACATTTAATATTTTGTAGATACAAAGTACATTAATTCACAAAAATCTTTTTACAAATTTCATTTTCATTTCTTATGACAGTTTATCACTCTATATGTGTATGTGTGTATAAATAAAATATTTATATGTAAATATAGACACACATCCTGTATTTATCTCTTTTCTATAAAAGTCATCAGTATGATTCAACATACTAACCTTCAAGAAGGCAGAGACAGACATGCCTGGCACTGAACAAGATCTAAAAAAAAGCCCCTGATCTCTAAGCGTCTGATGACACCATTGACAACATCACTATAGACCATTTAAGCTGTTGGTTGTGGCTGTTATTGTTCAATAGCTAAGTCATATGTGACTCTGCGACTCCATAGACAGGAGCATGCCAGGCTTCCCTGTCCTTTACTATCTCCCGGAGTTTGCTCAAATTGAGTCAGTAATGCTATTTAACCATCCCATCCTGTTGCCCTCTTCTTGTGTGGCCTTCAGTCTTTCCCAGTATCAGGGTCTTTTCAAATGAGTTGTCTCTTCACATTACGTGGCCCATGTATCAGAGTTTCAGCATCAGCCCTTCCAATGAATATTCAGGGTTGACTTCTTTTAGGATTGACTGGTTTGATCTCCTTGCGTCCAAAGAACTCTCAAGAGTCTTCCCCAGCACCATAATTTGAAAGCATCAATTCTTCAGCACTCAGCCTTCCATATGGTCCAATTCTCACATCCATACATGACTAATGGAAAAACCACAGCTTTGACTATATGAACCTTTGTTGGCCAAATGAGGTCTTTGCTTTTTAGCATACTGTCTAGGTTTGTCAGCTTTCCTTTCAAACAGCAAGTGTCTTTTAACTTCATGGCTGCAGTCACTATCCACAGTGATTTTGGAACCCAAGAAAACAAAATCTGTCACACTTCCACTTTTCCTCCTTCTATTTGTCATGAAGTGATGGGACCAGATGCTATGATTTTAGTTTTTCGAATGTTGAGCTTTAAGCTGTTGGTAGGTTCATGCAGTTAAAACCTCTTGCTTCAGAGAACTAACTGGAGTCTAGAATGGGTAGGTACTTTCTGCAAAGTCATGTAACCAACTGGTGGAGGAGCCAGGGTCAGAACCTCTTCTCCAGGTTTCTGGCCCCATGTTCACTACACCAGACTGCTTCCTGAGAAATCACTTCAATTTAACAACTTTCACCAAAAGTAGAAAGGCCAGAAATATGAATTGTGTTACAACCCCTGCCTTCAAGAAGTTTGGAGACTTTCTGGAGAAAAATTCACACAAAAACTTATGAGACTAATAACAAGACAACATTACTAAAGGAAATAAGACCAAGGGCCAAAATTTACAATATAGACTTTAAGAGCTATGGACCAAGAGTAGAATTTGTGATGAGCTCTAAAAAGGCTGGCAAGATTTAGACAGGAAATAAGGAATAAAGAGAGAGATGGTGAGATGCCATCAGCCAAGGCAAGAGTGAATAAAATATGGGAAAACAGTATGGAAATCAGTCTGACTAGGAGAACACAATATTTCATTTCAATAGACATGATTCTTATCCCAGGCCATCTAAAAGGAAATTGGAAGGAAATCTGGAGGATTTAAGTATTCATAATGAAAATCTCATTTAGCAGAAAGCCTAGACTTTAAATTACAAGACTAAACACATTAAATTTCCCTGAGTCCTAAAAAATTAGCAGCAGAGAGTAGACAAACTTCTGAATCCAAAGATTTATAATCACACAGTGCTTGCAAAAGTAGTAACAATTTAATACTGCTTTGTCATCTTGTCATGTCAAAAGATATTTACTAAGTGTCTCCTACGGTCAAGACAGTATTCTCAAGAACCAGATGCTTATTTCAGATATTCTGGGATGTTGTCAAACTAGAACATTCAGTAAGGTTCCACATAAAATTGTGCTTAATGTTCCAGGCAAAAATATGAGGCACAGAAACTGTATAAAAATTGAGGTCCTCCATGTTAACAGTAGCCCAGGAGATTGCCTCTATGGAAACCAAACACCATTCTAAACCAAGTAATCACTGGTTTGTCTCTAGCTGTGTTTCAAAATCTTGCTTTTACTCTGATACCAGCAACAGAAAACCTGCTGTATTCCACTATGTAGATGGGAGAAGTCAATCCTTAAAAGCTGACTAGCTCATACTTCAAGAGAGTGACGTCGTTCAAACTCACAACTTATACTGTGACAACTGTACTCTGAACTTTAGCTCCTACATTGGTAGCATACTACCATTTGCTTAAACAATAAGGAAATCTATCTCCACCCATGAATGTGGTAACTGTTCCTGTCACACTTGTCTTTCCAGTGTCAAGGCTTCCCTAGGAATCACTCACCTGCACAGATCTGAAGGTAGTAATGAAAGGCAACATGATATGATAGCCCGGTCCACTGGGGCTAGTTAGTAAAGCTCCTCCCCTGCAAAAAGATGTTTCAATTTGACAAGATTATAAAGAGAAATTCTCTTTTCAAATCTAAAATGCTGTAATAAATATTCACTCTTACTCATGCTATTGATCTACTAAAGCCTCACTAGTATGAGTTACTCGTGATGAACAACTGCTGGTTCCTACAGTACCTGTCACACCTACAAAAGTGAAAAGATAAAATTAAACTGTTAACATTACACCTTGTTTCATAAGCTCTACCAACCACACCTCCGGGTCTCCAGCATACTCTCAGGTATAAAGATTCTCTTTGGTCTTTAACCTTTTGAGAAATACTTGTGGAAAAAAAATTCAGCTGGCTCTCGGTTGATGTACTGTAATTGTACATAACACAAGCCAGATCAAAACATAATACATTTAATCACCGGGCTGGGAAAAAAAAAAAAGATAACACAAACTTCCAAGTAAGGAGAAAATTTCTGATGCTCACGATTCTTTTAACCTACCTAGAAAGCAATTAAAATATTGGGGGCAATTAACATATACACAACCCTATATATAAAGGTAAACAACAAGGACCTACTGTATAGTACAAGGAACTATATTCAGTATCTTGTAATAATCTCTAACATAAAAGAATCTGAAAAATATATAAACATATATATGTATAACAATCACTTTGCTGAACACTTAAAACACAACATTGCAAATTAACTATACTTCAAAATGTCTTTTTTGAAACAAAAAAAAAATACTGAGGCCATAAAGCCTCTATAAAATCGACAACAAAAAATTAGCATAGAAAGATGAAGAATAAAGACATAAAACTATAAATCAATATGTTATAAGCATAGACATGATCACCAAATTCTGAAATGCAAGAAACATGACATCACACCCTGGAAGTTATAAAAAGGAGGCAATTTGGACACAACTATAAAAAAGAAATCCTGTTTTATACAGTGAATAGTAAATTCATAGAACTTAGCTTTCTATCTTGAAAATACAAACAGATTTGCAAAGAATTCATAACAAATAACTAAGAAAAGATTAGTTGCTTGAGGTCCATCCCTAACTCTTTGAAATCCACATCTTGAAATGTTCTTTCTTTGCCTTTACTATCACTTTTTTCCATTATTCCAAATTTTTAAATTTCAAATTCATTGAAAGAAATAGCTATATGCTGAACTAGATGGAAATACAGACTAATCTGTCATTTAAAAAATGCTAGACTCCCACCCCCACTTACTATTTCTAAGACTCAAGGTGGATCTAAAAGCGGAAAATATCAGTTTTAAGGGAGGATGGGTGGAAGCCAGCAAAAAGCTGAAGCTCTTTCAAATACACCATTTCAAATTTCCCCAAACTGTCATCTGTCTATATATAAAAAAACTGGTGGTAACTACGTTGAAGGAACAGCTATTCATCTCAACTAGAGAGCAACTAACACTTCACACCATTCCTTTCCACGTGAAAGGAAAGGGAAAGGCTGGGAGGATGTGTCTATCCCATCCTGTGCTTGTCTCTCAAGGTCCAGGAATTTAACAACTGTCATGGTCTTCACGGCCTTACAAGCCCAAGCCAGACGCCAGAACCTTATAAAGAAAACAACAAAAAGCTAAGCAACAACCACAAACAGGACCCAAGTTTCTAAATAGCATCTACAGCTGCAGTCAGTAAAGCTGTATGCAATTTAACAATGATTTATCCACCTCCTCAGCTACAGGTGGAGTGACCACTGCCTTCCACCCTTCATTTTTTCCCTACAAATAAGTGGGTTTACTGACTATTAGGAACAACTGTAAGGAGTCTTAATCTCTGCATAGCACCGAAACTGTCCAACTGTCTACAAAAGCCTGACACAACCCCCAAACCCCCGAGGGATGCGACGAAAATCACTTTCTAGGACTAGAAAAAGTTTCCTGAGAACAATTTCCTAGACTCGAATAAAAGTCTCCCTTCTACCTGTTCTAGAACCTGAGCTGACCGCACGTGCCGCTCACCTGTAGTACACGGCCAGGTGTCCTTCCTCGATCTTGTGGATGGAGGCGTAGAGGAGGACCACCACCAGACCCACCACTCCAGCCACCAGAACTCGGGCTTGAGTCATATTCATCCTAATTCCTCCTGCATGCGGATGGAACGCAGCCCCAGCCTCTTGAATGGCAGGCCCACCACCTCTGGTTTCCACCTTCCCCCTCGCGACCTGGCGCCGTGCCGCAGGCCGAGCTGAGGAGTCCTATGCCCCCTTTTCCTCCTCGCCACCCCCCTCCGCCCGAGCTGGCCCGTGAGTCGACACAGCTCAGACTGACAACCCCTCCAGACGACCTCTCCTCCCCGCCCAGCGGAAGGCACTAACTGAGAGGGGAGCCAGCCGAAGACTCCAGACGGAGGCCGACCCCTCGGCCGGGCCTCAGTAATCAGTGACGCATCGTCCCCGCCCGCACGTGGAGCCGCCACCAAGGCCGGACCAACCGCCGCCAACAGCCGGCCCCACCGCCGCCAACAGCCGGCCCCGCCCACCCGCGGGGCAATGCGGCTGCGCGAACCCGCACGCCGACGCCGCGCCCTGCGACTAGAGACGGGGAGCGAATGGGACAAAATTCTCCAAGCCGCCCGCCGAAGAGAGTTCGCGCGAAGGTGCGTAGGGTCTTCTCTGTGTGCTGTTGGTTTCCTGCTCCGGGCGAAAAGGGAAGTGGGCTATTAGGAGTAAGCAAAGGGGCAGAGGAAAGAAGGCATCTGAAACAAGGGAGTGGTCAGTTTGTCCTTGTGCAAAGACATCTATTAACCTGCCAGAATGCTGATCCAGTGAGGGCTTTATGAAGGCCATCCAAGCAGTAAGAACGGAATGAACTAATAAGCACGCAAACGTGGGTGTGTGTTGGGAGGGTCCTTCAGGAAGACTACAGTGAGTATTTGAACTTCCTTGAAGCCTCTGTGATGGCAAGGAGTGAGATATTAGGCTAGGCCCTGATTTTGAAAGGCTCAAATGTGCTTTTCTGCAGGGAGGGGAAATTGGATGGCTAGAGAATAAAGACAAACTTTCTTTTCACTAAATACTTTTCTGCCCTTTTAAGTTATTCATTGTTATTTAGTCACTAAGTAGTGTCTGACTTTGCGACCCCTTGGACTGCAGGATGCCAGACTTCCCTGTCCTTCACTATCTCCCGGAGCTTGCTCAAACTCTTATTCTTTGAGTCCGTGATACTATCCAACCATCTCATCCTTCTCCTACCCTCAATCTTTCCCATCATCAGGTCTTTTCCAGTGAGCCAGCTCTTCACATCAGGTGGCCAAAGTATTGGACCTTCACCTTCAGCATCAGTCCTTCCAATAAGTATTCAGCGTTGATTTCCTTTAGGACTAGACTGGTTTGCTCTCCTTGTTGTCCAAGAGACTCTCAAGAGTGTCCTCCAGTACTGTAATTGAGAGCATCAATTCTTTGATGCTCATCTTTATGGTCCAACTCTCCCATCCATACAAGACTACTGAAAAAACCATAGCTTTGACTACATGGACCTTTGTCAGCAAAGTGATGTCTCTGCTTTTAGTGAAAGAGTAAAGATAGGAGTGAGATAGATGAATATAAGGGAAATAAGGGCAGCATATTAGAAGAGGTTGGGCATTAATCATGTAAGCTTTGAAAGACTAGCAGTGGGACTACAAATAGACCAAATAGACTAAAGTTGGAGGGCTCTGTAACCTCTTGGGTAGGGAAGTATGAGAACGTAATGCTTCTGGGTCAGTGAGTCTACAGAATGGCTCAGAGTGGAGACAAGAGACAGGGAAGCCAAGTGGTTAGTAAACTGCAGGCCCAAGGTTTCACTAGTTGTAACTGGTGGAAATGGAAAGAGGTAATAGAATCAATTCAAATCTTCATTAAAGCAAGCCCTCCCAGACAACTGTACCTTTTCCCTTCAATAAATGCACTTATTGGATCATCCCTTTGTCTTTTACACCTAGGAATGTATGGGACGTTGTCTGTACTAGATAAATGTTAATTGCAGAGCTTAGCTATTTTGACCTACAAAAAGCAAAATGAATGAAAAATAACTTGTCTGCTTCTGTTTTTTGGATGAATTATTGTAGCTTTCCATAGTATTGCTTGAATGAAATAGATATAATCCACAATTGAAATTCAACTCTGAAAACTTATCAGCAAATAACAAGTAAGAGTGGTCAACTCATGTATCAAAAGCATATCTGAGGTGATCTCACTGTAATAGGCTGTTCTGATTCATACCACTTGCCTGTATCACACAGATCAAGCTCTCCTGAGGTCACATCAGCCACAAACCATAAAAACAGTCCTGCCCTATACCAGATCTTCTATCACTTATTATAATGATCTGGAATGCAAAAGTAGGAAATCAAGAAACACCTGGAGTAACAGGCACATTTGGCCTTGGAGTAAGGAATGAAGCAGGGCAAAGGCTAATAGAGTTTTGCCAAGAGAATGCACTGGTCATAGCAAACACCCTCTTCCAACAACACAAGAGAAGACTCTACACATGGACATCACCAGATGGTCAACACCGAAATCAGATTGATTATATTCTTTGCAGCCAAAGATGGAGAAGCTCTATACAGTCAGCAAAAACAAGACCGGGACCTGACTGTGGCTCAGACCATGAACTCCTTATTGCCAAATTCAGACTTAAACTGAAGAAATTGGGAAAACCACTAGGCCATTCAGGTATGACCTAAATCAAATCCCTTATGACTATACAGTGGAAGTGAGAAATAGATTTAAGGGACTAGATCTGATAGACAGAGAGCCTGATGAACTATGGACGGAGGTTCATGACATTGTACAGGAGACAGGGATCAAGACCATCCCCATGGAAAAGAAATGCAAAAAGGCAAAATGGTTGTCTGAGGAGGGCTTACAGATAGCTGTGAAAAGAAGAGAAGCAAAAAGCAAAGAAGAAAAGGAAAGATATTCTCATTTGAATGCAGAGTTCCAAAGAATAGCCAGGAGAGATAAGAAAGCCTTCCTCAGCAATCAATGCAAAGAAATAGAGGAAAACAACAGAATGGGAAAAACTAGAGATCTCTTCAAGAAAATTAGAGCTACCAAGGGAACATTTCACGCAAAGATGGGTTTGATAAAGGACAGAAATGGTATGGACCTAACAGAAGCAGAAGATATTAAGAAGAGGTGGCAAGAATACACAGAAGAACTGTACAAAAAATATCATCATGACCCAGATAATCACAATGGTGTGATCACTCACCTAGAGCCAGACATCCTGGAATGTGAAGTCAAGTGGACCTTGGAAAGCATCACTTCGAACAAAGCTAGTGGAGGTGATGGAATTCCAGTTGAGCTATTTCAAATCCTGAAAGATGAAGCTGTGAAAGTGCTGCACTCAATATGCCAGCAAATTTGGAAAACTCAGCAGTGGCCACAGGACTGGAAAAGGTCAGTTTTCATTCCAATCCCAAAGAATGCTCAAACTACCGCACAATTGCACTCATCTCACACGCTAGTAAAGTAATGCTGAAAATTCTCCAAGCCAGGCTTCAGCAATACGTAAACTGTGAACTTCCAGATGTTCAAGCTGGTTTTAGAAAAGGCACAGGAACCAGAGATCAAACTGCCAATATCCACTGGATCATCAAAAAAGCAAGAGAGTTCCAGAAAAACAATCTATTCCTGCTTCATTGACTACGCCAAAGCCTTTGATTGTGTGGATCACAATAAACTGGAAAATTCTTGAAGAGATGGGAATACCAGACCACCTGACCTGCCTCTTGAGAAACCTGTATGCAGGTCAGGAAGCAACAGTTAGAACTGGACATGGAACAACAGACTGGTTCCAAATAGGAAAAGGAGTACATCAAGGCTATATATTGTCACCCTGCTTATTTAACTTATATGCAGAGTACATCATGAGAAACGCTGGGCTGGAAGAAACACAAGCTGGAATCAAGGTTGCTGGGAGAAATATCAATAACCTCAGATATGCAGATGACACCACCCTTATGGCAGAAAGTGAAGATGAACTAAAAAGCTTCTTGATGAAAGTGAAAGAGGAGAGTGAAAAAGTTGGCTTAAAGCTTAACAGAAAACTAAGATCATGGCATCTGGTCCCATCACTTCATGGGAAATAGATGGGGAGACAGTGGAAACAGTGTCAGACTTTATTTTTTGGGGGCTCCAAAATCACTGCAGATGGTGATTGCACCCATGAAATTAAAAGATGCTTACTGCTTGGAAGGAAAGTTATGACCAACCTAGATATAGCATATTAAAAAGCAGAGACATTACTTTGCCAACAAAGGTCCATCTGGTCAAGGGTATGGTTTTTCCAGTTGTCATGTATGGATGTGAGAGTTGGACTGTGAAGAAAGCTGAGCACCAAAAAATTGATGCTTTTGAACTATGGTGTTGGAGAAGACTCTTGAGAGTCCCTTGGACTGCAAGGAGATCCAATCAGTCCATCCTAAAGGAGATTAGTCCTGGGTGTTCATTGGAAGGACTGATGCTAAAGCTGAAACTCCAGTACTTTGGCCATCTCATGCGAAGAGTTGACTCATTGGAAAAGACCCTGATGCAGGGTGGGATTGGGGGCAGGAGAAGAAGGGGACAAGAGAGGATGAGATGGTTGGATGGCATCACCAACTCGATGGACATGGGTTTGAGAAGACTCCAGGTGTTGGTGACAGACAGGGAGGTCTGGCGTGCTGTGATTCATGGGGTCTCAAAGAGTTGGACACGACTGAGCAACTGAACTGAACTGAACTGATACCAGATCTTTTATCACTTATTATAATGATATTTAGAAAATGCTCATTTCAAAAAGCCTTTAACAATTTCATTCCAAATAAACACTCTTACTGTACTGCCTGTGTTAATTTTTCTGATCTTCCCATTTTGCTCAATATCTTCCAAGCAACAGGTACCCAATAAATGTTTACTGATTAAAACCTTCTAGAACTGGAAGAAGCAAGAGAGAGACAGCCAGTTTTAACGGCTGGTAGTCAGAATGTCCATATTCAGAGAAACAGTAGTAGCAGTTGACTAAAAAGTTAGGCGAAGACAATTCCAAGGTCTCAAACTGAGATGACTGGGAAAATGACAGTTAACAAAAATTGGGATGGTTTAACTAAGACAGCAGTTTTTAGGACATGGTATAAGCACAGTTTTTAGAAACAGATAGTCATGACAGACCATCTCAGGAGCAAAGACTGTATTAAAGAAGCTACCCAATACTGCCTTTACCGTAAGTCTGTTTTATTCCTAAGTACTCTAAAAGCCTGTTATGTTACTCTGTGCTTCAACTCTGCTTCATGGAACCTTCACATTTTCTCAAAGCATATTCAATTATTCTGCTACAATCTGATTTTAATGAATAGAGATTCAAAAAGTAATTTAAAAATTGTTTAATACACAAAGTGAAAAACCGTCTAGAATACAAAAACATTTCACATTTTTTAAACAAGTAATACCTTCTAAATTATTTAACAGACGATAGATCCACAATCCTTTATCTGAAACCCTGTCTGCGGCCATACCATCCTGAAGGCCCCCAATCTTGTCTTGAAACCCTTGGGGCCAGATGCTTCAGAATTATGAAATTTTCAGATTTTAGAAAGGTAATTCAGTGCATATACCAGACTACATAAAACATCAGGCAGGGTCTGTGGCAGCACCCTCCCCCAATCAAATACAGTAATATTTCTGCAGCAAAAGAAAAGAATATTCACACTAAATGGGATAAGTAGACTCAATGTCAGTTCTCGTTGGATGTGCAAGCAGATGAATTTTGTCATCAATCTTATGAAAAATCTTGTTTTCAAAGATTTTTGGATTTTGGAATTACAGATAAGGAATGCAGATCTTTATAAATTTGTATGACAAGACATGAAAGATTCCTTAAAAGACCCATTTTTACAAATGAAAACACAGATAAGCTTTCAAATACATTATAAATTAACAGGCATCTTCTTTTTGATATTATTAAATGTACATCTTAAATACATATACACATAGCACACTTAACAAGATTTGGAAGAATCAATTGGTATTAAAGGCACAAATGCACAGTCCCTTTCATAGGAAAGGGATACAATCAAATGTGCAGTAAAATGGAAAATGGGATCAAACTCTTATGATACTGGGAAGAGCACTGTTAAGTGCAACACAAGTACAACACAAGCAGTCTCTTCCACAGAAACACAGGCAAACACTACTTAGGATACATGTTGAGATTTTCTTCTCTGTATACATTATTTTGGCCTCATGCCCAAAAGTTAAATGTTGAAAGAATCAGTTAAGTAAGTAATGTTTTACCAGGTTTGAAGACAAATGGATTTAAGTCCACTGACTCATAAAATTCTATCTGTTCAGAGGTTAAAATTACCCAGAGTCAAATATTATGCTGTAAAATCATGTGGAGTTTCTGATCATAGTCATTTCTTCCATTGACTGGTATTTGAAGAATGGTTTCATAGGAGAAAAACAAATGTCCAACATGTGCAGCAACAACTTCATAGGTTTCAGGAGAGTCACTAAGTGGCAAGTCATTCTGTTAACCAACTCCAATCAAGACTCTAAAACCAGGCATGAAAAAGTTACCATTAGATGCTGACTCTAAGCAGTAGGTATATGGGTGTTCATTTTCGCAAGTTTTCTGTTTATTTGGAGATTTTATAATCAAAGTTGAAAAACCAAAAGTACAAATAAGTTACAATTAAAGAGTTTAGTTTACCTTAATTTCTACTAACAAAAAAAAATTTCAGAGTTTTCAGATATTTGAAGCAAATAATGAAAGAGGAAGTAACAAAGAATTAATATGAAGACTAAATATAGTAAAAGTTAATTCAGTAAATATTTTATTGTAGTTTCTCCAAGTTTTAACAAATCAATAATTCATAGCAATCAAATCTTCATAAAAACACTTCTGTTAATAACCATATTAACATTATTCATTTTGTACACAACAGTTAACTATATTTGAATTACAGTACAAATTATGTCCCATCTTACTGGAGAAAACTGACTGCAGAAGCAAAAAAGTACAGACCATTTGATTTCAGTGGTCACAACTGCAAAGAAAGCTCACCAATCATTTAACTTGACCAGAAATGCTATAAAGATTACTGATGGCATAATCCTAGTATATCCATGAGTAAGAGAAGATGGGGAGTTGAGGTTAAGCATTCCTCAAATGCTCTTTCGTCTGAGTTCTAGTCCCCAACTGAATCCCAAACACCAGATAAGTCCAGCATGGAAAGTTAAACCCTTTGCACCCAACACACTTAAAACACACATCCATATTCATATAAAACTTACCATCATACTGTTGCCCTGTTTTTCATTTGCTTCATGAATAATAGTGCTTAAATGGCCAAGACAGTTCAAATTTTCTTCTATCATTTGTGCTAAAGTCTCCCTGTGGAATGAAAGCAAAAGGGCATATGAATTTCCTCTACTTTCTGATCTTCAGGGTCAGGATGATACTGCTCTTCCTACAATACCACAACCCAGCAACCAAAGGCAGCGGATTCCTGTTGTCTTCAGTTTGCTCATCCTCCCACCCAGAGGCAGAGGCCTGTTTGTTACTCCAGGCTGCTGCCTCTGTCCAGCTCTAATGATAAGGAGTCCACTATGATGCCAATCTGATTTTCCTCTGAAATATAAGTGGCACTTACATACAACTTTTTCCCCCTGAAAATGCTCATTCAGGGAAAAAGAGATCCTGTGGCACAGCCAGATGAAAGATCTCTTTTTGTTTCTAGAACAGTTCCTTTTCCTTACAAGTAGCAAAAACATCAGCATGCTTAATTCTGAGACACAAATGTAGGGGAAGAGATAGAAAAGATAAACTATCTTTTCTGCAAAGATCAGGGAAGGTGAAAAAAAACTGGAAAATATAGATGACAGCAATAAAAAAGAAAAGCAAGCTGATTCCTGAGGACAGCAGAAGAAAACTGTGACAGGGGACCTGCCAAGAACCAAGAAGTATCCTTGGAAATTTGAAGACAATCCTGAATCTGATTTCTATCTTCTATACTTTCCTCCTCTATATGGCCTCCATCCTTACCTTTTACTAACCCTCAGTCCCTGCCCTAGTAGAACCAATTCCAGGCCATGGAAGATGGTCACTGTTAGAACTAAATTCTCATTCAGCTTATTCAACAGATAGAAAAATTGAGGTCAACAGTCCCCAATCCTTGTGGTTAAGTACCACAGGTATATTATTACTGAAACCAGTTTTCCTCTTGGAAAATATATTTTAAAATTCCTGGTGAATATATTTTTGCAAACAATCATAACCTCACACTGAAAATCACTTGTATAGAGGTAACATTTGCAACCATTTGCACTCTCTAATAAACCCAAATGCCTCTAATGAAAGCAAAAAGATATTAAACTTTATTTGCATCAACTCTGATTAATGAAATATTTCCTAAAGTCCATATAACTAATTATAGTCTATGCTATAGCTGTGGATGTATTACATTGGGCCAAATGCATAATGATCCTAAAATATACCCTAGAACTTGCTTTCTTTAAGAAGATAAAATACCTGGTATCAGCTTGCCTTCCTGCCATGTGCTTTTCTCTCATAAAAGCAGAGTACAGAATGTGCAGCTGCTGACCTCCTGAGCAGTGATGTTACACGGCTGCACCTCTGCAAAACTAATTATGGGCAGAGCTTCCAGGAAATGCTGGTACTGTAGAGGTCTCCATGAGTTGTAAGAAAAGCGACAATATACAAGCTAGCAAAGAGCCACTGGCTCTGGATACGGCACATCTCATGCTGAGAAAAATAACAGAAATGGATAGTCATTCAGCTTTTAGCAGAAGAGTAGGAATTAAAAGAAAATATAGGACTTCAAACTTGAGTTGTTTCCAAAAATGATTTAAGGCATTGAAAATAGTCTGATTTTAAGAATACTAAGTTAAAAAAAAAAGAATACTAAGTTATAAAATGAGTAGATTAAACTCAATTCCATTAGAGGGGTGATCAAAGGCCCTAAAATGACAACTGCAAAAAGCATAAATTCTTAGAGATAAATGATAAATTTAGGAATAAAGTATGGCTAAAAGGTTTAATGAGTCAATAAGAACTTAGAAGTTGGATTGAGCTAATAAGAAGTAACATTTGTTAAGGATTCACTTCCCAAATATACTGTCTAGCTGAATTTTCATAGCACTTCCCATTTTACAGGAGAGGAAATGTGAACATTAAAACAGTAAAGTTAATTGTGTGGGGTTATTACAAAGGACAATCAGGATTCAATCCTGGTCTATAAGGCAGTGAAGATTACATCTTAACCACTTCACTCTACTGTCTCATCCCCACCACTGCTCTTGAACACACAACTATCTATTGTAACAAAGTGAACCCACCCATCTTGAGGAGTTACCACGCATGACAGAGGATGTTCACGTTCTGCTGAAGCTGGGGGCAGCTGAGGGGTTACACCTTCTAGACTGGATCCTAGAGACCGGGCAGAACTCTGTGTCTGAAGGAAAAAAATAAAATTATAGGCAAGCATTCATATTCCTAAGACACATTTCTATCACTACTTTTATGCACAACCAGAGTATTTCTGTACAAAACTATCTCCACTGTTACACACCCTACAAATTATCCTGTCCTGGACCTCTTTCTTCATTGACTAAAATCAGATGTATCCATCCTTCCATTCTACTTTAGTTGGAGGAAAAACTCCAGTTGAACCAAGGACTGGTTTTTCAAATTAGCCAGGCACATCTATCCCCAAGTTGGGTTGGGTGACCACAGTGGTCTAGGGTTGGGAGGAGTATAAAAATAGGAGACTAGAAAGGAGAGAGAAAATGAAGAAAGATCATGAAGTCCTACATCTGAATCACTAGTGAGACACCAAGCAAAGAACATGAGCATCAACCCAACATAAAATACATATGTCTTCAAGAGGACAGAAATCATGCTAATAAAAAACCCTTTTGTAGGGGATAACAGCAAATTAGTATCATATTAAATAATTCATATTAAAAATTACTTACACAGGCAATTTTAAGGAGATGCCATATTTCTTTCTGTCTCTTTCCCTGCATAAACATGACAGTATTGTCAGCTTCTTTGATGTTACTGAGGGCCATTTCCACCTTGGGCAGTAGATCAATAATCTTCTGCTTACAGCCCAACAACTTGCTGGAGAGGTAAAATCTCTGTCAGACACTTACATATCCCCCAAGACTGTACCCCATACTCCCAAACCCACCTGGGGGAATGAGTCACAATCAGCACAGATTCAGTGACTGATCTGCAAAGCAATGCACACCGAGAGGACACTAAATGCATGCAGCCATGGCTAAGCTCTGCAGCATGCTGCCAGTACTCTTCCTGGGTCTAGTATATGTACCAGAAAGGGGTATTACATTTTAAAAGGAACCTGGCAAAGGTTCCCTGGCTTTTCAGTAGAAAACAAAACAATATTTCTACCTCAGATGACCAAACAGCTCCTTGAGAACGCGGTCCTGACTCTGCACAGTATGCACAATGATTTTCACCATCTCCGTGCTGTCGCTGTAGGAGTGATCTATGAAAGAACTCAGTCAGTAGGTATAACCTCTCTTCTGCATTAACAAACCAGCCCTAAACAAAAAATTCCTAAAAATCTGAAACGTCTTAAATAATTAACATCTCCATTTAATTTCAAAACTAAATTAGTATAAAAGGTTTTATGATTATATATCTATAAATAATCATATAACTAAAAACAAAGTCTTTGTGTGTATATATGAAAAAGAACGTGTTAGTTGCTCAGTTGTGTCTGACTCTGCAACCCCATGGACCACAGTCCGCCAGGCTCCTCTGTCCATGGATTCTCCAGGCAAGAACACTGGAGTGGGTAGCCATTCCCTTTCTCCAGGGGATCTTCCCAATCCAGGGATCAAACCTGGATGTCCTGCATTACAGGCAGATTCTTTACCATCTGAGTCATCAGGGAAGCCCCAGGTGGCAAGAATACACAGAACGACTATACAAAAAAGGTCTTCATGACCAGGTAACCATGATATGTGGTCACTGACCTAGAACATCCTGGAGTGTGAAGTCAAGTGGCCTTAGGAAGCATTACCAGCAAGGCTAGTGGAGGTGATGGAATTCCAGCTGAGCTATTTAAAACCCTAAAAGATGCTGCTGCTAAAGTAGTGTATCAATATGCTAGCAAATTTGGAAAGTTCAGCAGTGGCTGCAGAACTGGAATAGGTCAGTTTTCATTCCAATCCCAAAGAAAGGCAATGCCTCAAACTAATGTATAATTGTGCTCATTTCACATGTTAGCAAGGTAATACTCAAAATCCTTCAAGCTAGGCTTCAACAATACATGAACTGAGAACTTCCAGATGTAAAAGTTGAATTTAGAAAAGGCAGAGAGAACCAGAGATCAAATGGCAACATCCACTGATTCATAGAAAAAGCAAGGGAATTAAAAAAAAAAAAAATCTGCTTTGTTGACTATGCTAAAGCCTTTGACAGTGTGGATCACAACTGTGGAAAATTCTTCAAGAAATGGGAATATCAGACCATTACCTGTCTCCAGGCCAAGAAGCAACAGTTAGAACCGGACATGGAACAATGGACTGGTTCCAAATTGGGAAAGGAGTCATGGCTGTATATTGTCACCCTGCTTATTTAAATTATATGGAGAGTACATCATGCAAAATGCCAGGATGGATGACTCACAAGCTGGAATCAAGATTGCCAGGAGAAACATCAACAATCTCAGATATGTAGATGATGCCACTCTAAAAAAGAGTGGCAAAGAGGAATTAAAGAGCCTCTGGATGAGGGTGAAAGAGAAAAGTGAAAAAGCTGACTTAAAACTCAACATTCAAAAATTTAAGATCATGGCATCTGGTACCATCACTTCATGGCAAATAGATTGGGAAACAATGGAAACAGTGACAGGTTTTATTTTCATGGGCTCCAAAATCACTGTGGATGGTGACTGCACCCACGAAATTAAAAAATGCTTACTCCTTGGAAGAAAAGCTATGACAAACCTAGACAGAGTATTAAAAATCAGAAACATCACTTTTGCCAACAAAGGTCCATCACAGTCAAAGCTATGGTTTTTCCAGGAGTCATGTATGGATGTGAGAGTTGGACCATAAAGAAGACTGAGCGCTGAAGAATTGATGCTTTCGAACTGTGGTGCTAGAGAAGACTCTTGAGAATCCTTTGGACAGCAAGGAGATGAAACTAGGCAATCCTAAAGGAAATCAACCCTGAATATTCATTGGAAGGACTAATGTTGAAGTTCCAATACTTTGGTCATCTGATGCGAAGAACTGACTCACTGGAAAAGACCCTGATGCTGGGAAAGATTGAAGGCAGCAGGAAAAGGGGGTGACAGAGGATGAGATGGTTGGATGGCATCACTGACTCAATGGACATGAGTTTGAGCAAACTCCGGGAGATAGTGAAAGACAGGGAAGCCCGATGTGAGGCACTCCATGGGGTCACAAAGAGTTGGACAGGACTTAGCGACTAAAGAACAACAATGTACACATAGATTTATCACTGTATATTCAAAGACACTGTATCTTCTCTGTTTTGAGAAGGATTATGTTGGCTAATTCAAACCCCAGATATATATGCAGCTTTCTGAACAAGAGAACAATTTTTCTTAGATGACTAACAAAATGTATTTAGAAGCAGTACAACAATTCATCAAACTTTCACTGACTCAAAGGAGTTCCAGCTAGGTTGCCTGAAATTTCATGTTTATCCATCTGTTTATACCCATGAAAACACTGAAAAAAGCTGATCAACTTAAGCCAAATCTGATGCATAAAAGGACCTGTAGACATCTTGAAAGTTCAGTTTGAGGGCAGTATGACATCTCAAAGTAAACTGGCAGCTGACAAAGATCCTCAAATGGGATGGTGGTGGGATGGTGGTCACAGTGAATTCTACCATTACAGGAGATGCCACCTCATTTAAAAAGCAAACCCAAAAACTAGCATTAACTGTTATGTTTCAAAAAATGGCTATTTAAGTTTTAAAAAATTGGAAGTTCGGTCATGGATCATGCTGGCATTTTCCCAGACAATAATTAATCTCGAATGCAAAAATACTATTATTATTATATGCTATTATCCACTTACAGTTTTCTCATTTAATACTCACAGGAGTCCCAAGAAATGGCTACTGATGTTACCCACATTTTACTATGAAAGGAATATCAAAAGAGATTTTTAAAAAGTTGTGTGCTGTGTTAGCACGGTAAAGACCTTCCCGAGTACTCAGCTTTAGTTCCCACACATCTTTTTCTCTGTCTCTCCCTCAAAAACAACCAAAGACAGAGACTCCCAAAAGGCTTCTCTCCAAACAGCTCTTATTAATAAATCCCACAGATCAAGCCCAACAGCTTTGCCATATAACTATATGGAATATAGCTCTTTTAGATAAACGACCTCAGAACTTTAACCTACTCCAACATAAAGCATGGGTAAAGTTGGTTTTCACCATTTGCAGCTGAACAAGAATCTCAAGTCAACTCTGAACTGGAAAAAGACACCAAAGACCATATACCTCAAGTCTGATTATATTAGCCCCAACAATAGACAAAACTTCTTGTCACAACTTGTCAGTTGAGGTGAGTATCAGTTCTTTGGATAGCAACTTTATTTCTAGGCCCTGTGATATGCTGATACCTGTGACTACTGCAAAGATTTGTAAGAATAACCCAAACAAATTTTATCAATGACTGTGGAAAGTTAATTTGACTGAGTCAATGGATGGAATTTTATATATATTCATCTACAATATCTGATTCATTGGTCAGGAGATGGAGAGTAATGAATACCGATTAAAGGAAAAAAGTTAGCCTTGCTGTATTTGAAATCTTAAATCTCAGTATTTTACTCTAACTTCTATCATTTTTTTGGTCATTATTTTCAACTTTTCTGTCCCCTTATTGTCAGCAATATCCTAACCCTAGATCAGTCTAACCACCTGCTCTATCAGTTTTCTGTATCCAAGCTACTAAACATTACCATCAAAACAATTAAACTTTCATTCTCTCTGCTGTCCTAACTAATTCACAGGTTTTCACTTCTGCTCTGGATTCTTAATAAATGTCCTGGACCAGCAACATCTGCCACTGCACACATCAGTTTTCAAAAGCATACTTGTTTAGCATACTCCTTAAATCTATGATGTCACATCTCTTCTGTTGCAGTTAGCCCAACATCTTACTTTGGAATAGGAGGCTATAAAGCAGTAAGATTCTCACCTTTCACCCCCTATACCCACAGAAGTGTCTGTATCCACACACATCTCCCTCTCTAAGATCAGAAGCAACAAGCCCAACCCCTCCCACTATTCTCTGGAGTCAGCCCCTCAAAGTTGTTCAGAGACTTCCCTCTCCACAGGCTTTTGGCCCCAAGCACATAAACAAGCTTAAGTCTTTCTTCTGAAAATTGACTTCTCTTCATTCTTCAACCTCTCTGAGCTGCTCATCTCTCTTCGTTCCTTAACAGCCAAGCTTCAGGAAAGAACAGCCTAGATAACCAGGTTTCAAACTTACTGGTCTCAGGACACCTACACTCAAAAATCCTTAAGAACCCCAGGGTTTTTTAGGAATTAAACTGAGAAATATAAAAATATTTATTTATTCATTAAAAATAACATAAATTCATTATTAAAACATTTTAATCCAAAATAACTGTATTTTCCTCAAAAAATTTAGTGAGAGTATTGGCATTACATTTTTGCAAATCTTTTTAATAACACCACCAATCTTATCAGAAAAGTATTTAAGTATTGAGAAGCTGACAAATTTTGGATGATGGATAGAAGTTTTCCTACATTCTAATTTTTTGCTTGAAACATGGAATTTTATCATTGACAACTAATATTGTTGTTTTTTTATCCTTCAAGTGACAGTCATGCTCCATTAATTTTTAGAAAATATCTGCCACATACCCAAATCTGAAGAACCACACAGTTTATCTGATGATCATTGTTCCAAGTAAAAATGGTGTTCTGTTAAAGAGGCTGGTCCACAAGCAATGTCAACAACTGCTGATGTGGTTTTCCTTAGGACAACCGTCATACCTCAGCAGGGCTACCGTCATACCTCAGCAGGGCTTCCCTCATAGCTCAGTTGGTAAAGAATCCGCTTGCAATGCAGGAGACCCTGGTTCGATTCCTGGGTCGGGAAGATCCCGTGGAGAAGGGATAGGCTACCCACTCCAGTATTCTTGGGCTTCCCTTGTGGCTCAGCTGGTGAAGAATCCACCTGCAGTGCGGGAGACCTATGTTTGATCCCTGGGTTGGGAAGATCCCCTGGGGATGGGAAAGGCTACCCACTCCAGTATTCTGGCCTGGAGAATTCCATGGACTGTATGGTCCATGGGGTCACAGTTGGATACGACTGAGTGACTTTCACTTTCATATCTCAGTATGTAACAGAAGCACTTTATGAGTACCTTCCATTTGTCACAGAGAAAATTAAAAAGACATATACCCAAGGGCTGACATTTCTTTAGAATTTTTACTGCCTTATCAAGGACACTCTTAAATGAA